AGACAAAGGAGTAAAATGGCCTGTAACCAATTATTAATGTTCATAAAACACTTGGTAACCCATCATCACCCAGCTTTACAAAACCAAACCCGGGATGGATGTCACTTCTTGGATAATATGTTACTAAGTAGCTTCTAGTCTTCAAGGCAGCCTGTGGTGCAATGTATATAATAAATCATTACCTTTTAATACCTATGGCTCTTGTTCCACTGCTCTAATTTCTCTAAGTTGCAGTGGCAAATATGTTTAAACTATCTGTGCTAATCAAAGACCCTTTGATCACTTTAAGAATGGAATTACTTGTGAAGTCTGCATGAAAAACATGCTGATGAAGGTTGAACTAGACCGAAATTGGAGCTGATCGCCCCTAATTTTTAACAGTTGTCATAGCAACATGGCTAGGGAAAATCATTTAAAATAAGGAGCTTTTAATTTGCATCAAATCTAAATCACACAAATGTTTGAAAAGCTTGGAAACATCGGTTTAAAAATATACTTTGTATTAAACTGTGTTTTTCTTTGCTTTAAAGAAGTTGAAAGCATTTTTTCATAATAGTGTAATTTGCCAGTGGCCAATGCAGTAAAATAACATACTGACAGCTTTTCAAATGTACAGTGAATATGACATCTTAAAGCTAAAACATGTCACTGACTCTGCAGAATTGATAAAAAGCAAATGGAATATGGTAAGGACTACTCCATTCTTGCAGATTAAACAACAATTGAGAAGCCTTGGTCGTAAAGACATGTTTGAATCAAACTGGACACAACTCATACCCACAACTTCCCAAAAGATAAACATCTGCTTATGGCAGGCTACAGAGATCAGAACCATCTGCCAAAATGTGAGTAGAGAGAGCCAAATGCAATAACCCAGGACTGACTGCCATTGCTACTGTCATAGGAAAAGGCTAGGGCAGACACAACTCTGAAGGGAAAATAAAAGAGGGGATAGTGAAAAGCAATATTGATTTTGACATGTGTTGTGAATTTTCTCTCTGTCGCACTAGATCCCTGCCCCAACTTCCCAAAAATGGAGCAAGTTATTTATCCCAGCACATACTGTGCATATCTGGCTCCCATCTGTTGGGTTACAAGGACTTCAAGCTCAGTGACCAGATCATAAATATAATTCTGTGCTCTGTGCCAAAAGTAGCCATCTTCTTTGAGACTACAGAAAAGACAGACACAACAGGAACGTCAAGAAAACAAAGAAAAGAAAATACCTCAGGAAGCTTTAATATTTTTTCTGCTCTACTTCCCATTCCCAGATTCCAACTAGCTAGTAAGATGCTGGAAAGAGCAAACTCACTGTCACTCCCTTATTAGTTCAACGTTCTTGTAATAACAATGACTTCATAGCCATACACCGTTCTCAGTGATAACTAAGGATTTCCATCACTTTTAGTTCTTATATCCCTGCACCTTTCTGCAGAGACACCCTGTCATGAACAATCTGTTGGCTCACATTGGAACCCTTTAATAGAGCTCTTTGATCAATTTAGGGGGTTCTTTACTTTTGGAGCAATAACATGACCATCGGCTCAAGGGCTTCCAACCCTTCAATGCCCCACTGGGCACCAGAAACCTCATATAAAACTCTTTGATTGATTTCCTCCTCCCTTAGCTCAGTGTTCTCCTTCTCAAAACCAGAGAGAAACACTAGTGCTATCACGACCCTAGTGCAATGTAGCTTCTGAAACAAGAGGATCAGCGGCTGCTAAATTAAGGGCAGCACTGGAAATAATTCAGAGGTGCCTTTTCCTCAGATTCCTTTCATTGCCAGTCCTTATGACCAGGAAATTTGATCTTTCTAGGCTTGTGAACTACAGCTTAACATCTTCACTTTTAAAACCAAACCTCAGTCCTTTTCCAGATGTCCAACACAGAAGGAGAAATAACAAAAGTTTGGTGCTCCAATCAAATAATCAAGATCTAGATTGAAAAGCTGTGTTGTATTGTCTTATTTCTGAAAGATTAAATTTGCTGAAAAACACAGTTTTCATTCCAAGTGTTTGTCTGTTTTCTTTTCATTTGAAATGACTGAACAAATCCTGAGAGTTGCTGAGCTTCTGCTTAAATCAGTGAGAGTTGTAGTTGCCCAGCAGCTGCTGAATGTCTCTTTCTACATATGTATTGCACACACACAAACTATGCGAAAAGAACATTATTAAGGTTGCAAAGTCAAGCATTCAAAAAGTTAGAAAATGCCAGAATTAAGGTTGCCTAGGCAACCTTAATTCACCGCCCTTGTGCACATGCATTCTGATACAGTCTGTAATTACATGATCACATAGCATTTTTTCCACAGGCCCCCTGCCTCATTCAGTGCACAGAATGGACGGTGCTCACTTAATGAGCAGCTATTCAATGTTTTCCTTTCTCATTGTTCAGTGCATGGCTCCAAGGCCTTATTTGTTGAACTCTATTCAAACCCTACTCAAAAAATGCAATTATTAATTTCCTTATGGGCTTTTCTGTAGTGCTTATCGCTACACTATCTGAATCCTTCACAGACATGTATTAATTTATTTTCACAACACCCTTGTAAAGAGAAGGGATGGTATGATCCCCCATTTTACTGATGGGGGTCTGAGGCATAAAGAGATTAAGGTCAAAAGGATTCAGTAATTTTGGGTGCTCAATTTGAGATGCCCAGGGCCTGATTCTCCAGATCACTTAGCATTATATAGCACTTTATATGTGCAAAGCAGAGCTCCCACTGACTTCAGTCGCAGCGGTGAGGGCTCAGCACTCTGTTAATCAGGATCCAGAGTCCCAAGTTAGGCACCCAGAAAATGGGGAACACATAATTAGTGACCATGTGTGAAAAGTTTAAATGACATCACATAGGAACTTTGTGGCTGAGGCAGGGATAAAATCCAGTTCTCCTGTGTGGCATTCAATTGTCTTACTCACAAGACCAACCTTTTCCCTCCTGCAATCCCCTGCCTCATTCACTAGACACCTCCCAACTTCTGCAACAAATCCAGCAGGGGGCCTACAGACAACAGTCTCCTTCCCTACACAAATCTGATTCATCCTCCATTCTGGACCATGAATGAGGCAGGGCTTTCACGGAAAAAAATAGTATGTGATGATGCAATATAAAATATACTAAATACAGACTACCCTTTTGTGGAGATTACAGTAAAATCAATACTGTTTTTTGACTAATTGTAATCTCAGTTACACTCTGGATTTACAGGCACTGTAACTGAGGTCAGATTCCAGCCCAGAGAATTTATCAGGATATTCTTATACCATTCTTTCTTGTCAGGCAACCCCATTCCAGACTCGAACCAAAGGCTTTTACCCATCTAATGATGAAGGACGGAGAGTGAAACTCAGCTTGGCAAGCCAGCTCCTAGCATTCCCCAGGTCATACATAGTATAAACACATCACTGTCCTGTCCTGTTGGTACATTTGCAGTTATCTTAATAAGTGAGAATGCAGGGAGTGGTCCTGTGGTTTAAACACAGGACACATTTTACGAATAAGGAAGGACATTGTCACTTGCCAGATTGATGTCACATGGCATGTTTCTCTCTTACACAGCTCTTGAAGGTGATATAATTTGTTACAGTACATGCCATACAGATTTCAAGAAAGGTCTTAAAGTGATACAGTGCAGCGTCTATGAGGCTGTAGTGAAAGTTTTTTTCTTACATTTTGTGTTTGTTAATCTAATGCTGGTGATGGGTAGAAGCTTGACAGTCTTGGAGAATGAAGTCCTCTTGCTATAGCACAAGCATTTGGAGTGAGTGCCTTCCCATCCAGCCCTGCAAGCCTGCCTCAACTCTGACTGGCATGGACCCCATGACTGAGGGTGAAAAGGCAGTTCAACCTCCTGGATGATTCAGCATTCCCCTACTCTGCTGGCACTGCAGCCAGCCCAGGTGCCAATTAGTGCCAGCCACGGTGGTGGGCTTTAGTGAAGCACACACCTGTCCACTGGGAAATGGATTGAGGCCACCTCCCTAATTGCACGCAGAAAACTGAACAGCCATCAGATGGCAACAGCAACTTTTGGCCAATACTGATCTAGGTTGGATTTGAACCTGCAGCGTAGGGGGGTGGCAGGCTGTGGTTTACAGTGTTAAAAACAATACAACCTATGTAAAAAAAATGTGTAATTCACAGGTGTGATATCCAACCCATGAATGATGAGATTCACCCAACCAACACTGCCAGGACAGAAAGCTAGCCTGGGTGGACAAGCCACTGAGCAAATCTAGAGAGTAGTGAAGAGGAGGGTGCTAAGGCTGCAAATGAACACAGATCAAGCAACAGTCACAGAGAAAAGAAGGGTGTTGGAAGTCAGCAGCTGTAGATGTCCTCAGAGACTGGGCTGGGAAAAGAGAGAGAGAGCAGCACAAAGGGAAGAAAGGGGACAAGCACAGCAACGGAGGGAGGGAGTGGAGGAGATGACAAGACAAGTGGGAGCAAGGACGGAACAGTCAACTTGGATTGTCTGGGACTTGGATCCATGAGTTATTAGTATATACATTAAAAACAGCCAAACGCTGAGCCTTGGTGTTTTTTCCATTGAGCGTCTCTGGTGACTAACAGCCATGCTTCACTTTACTTATGAGACCACCAGAAGCCCTCAGTGCAATGATAGCCTCACATCTGGCAGTTACCTGTCCTTTATTCTATATCCTGTATCTTGGTATTGTTATAAGCTATTTGCAAAAGGACAGCTTCTGACCGTTAGTGCAATTTGCAGCATGAACATAAAAACTTCATGTTAGCAATAATCTTATTAAGAGGATTGATATAATAATGGAGACCCATTTTTTGTGCATATTTATGCAGTCACACACATTAAAACTTCAGCTAATATTAACAACACTTCATATTTATATAGTGATTTACCAGTTCAAAAAGTGCTTTATAGACATTAACTAATGACAGTGGCATCTCAATACACTCCAGTTTGTACATTATTGCTCAGCAGGTAAGAACTGCATTAATGAATGCTTGCTCAATAACTTACAAGATCGAGGGCAGCTGCCAGGATGGAGGCATCGGGGATAGTGCCTGGCTCACAGCAGTTTAAGAGAAACTGAAAGCGTTTCATGCCTTGTCTGATTGCTCCCAGGTTCACTACATTCTTGGATTTTCCACCTTCCTGGTTGGAGGCCAAGTGATCATCAAAACTGTGGCAACCTGAGGAGGTAGAGAGTACAAAGGGGGTCCAGGGTGGGGGGTGGGAGATGAGAAGCAGCAAAGAGAAGGGGGACACAATACCTCACAGATAAAAAAACAAGTTGTACAGGAATCCTGGCGTGCATGATCCTGACCCAGTTCCCTTCCCTCAACTTGATACATGATCTGAGCATGTGTGACAATTTCCATGGCACCCAGTGACTGTGAAAACTGTGAGCCTGATTCTGAACATGGCTATGCTGATGTAAGTCCAAAATGGTTCCCTGGACGTGGATGGAGATGCTTTAGATTTACTCCAGTGTAAATTAGATCAGAGAATGGTTTGTCCGTGGCCTTTTTTCAAATATGTAAATACAGTATCGAGTCTTCTGCGTGTTCAGGCTCTCAGGCTCTCTTCCTCTCCACACTTCCTGGTCAGTTTATTTAGATTATTTCCATTTATCCGTCTCTATCTTAGATTATCATCTTCCTTCTCCCTAAGAAAGACTATGCATTTATCCTCACCTATGAATTTAACAAAGGTTATATTATATTTTGAGCAGGACAAACACGAGTAATAATTCTTCCAAAAGGACAAGGCAAGGATCAGCTGTTACTTATATAGGCCTAAATCTTCAGAAGTGACTAGTTATTTTGGGGAGCCCACCTTGAGACACCTTATGTCAAGGCCTGATTTTCAGAAACTGCTCAGCACTCACCTTCTGTAAATCCTTTAAGATGTCTCATTTGCAGTGTACCTAAAAATGGAGGCACCCAGAATGACTAGTCACTTTTGAAAATGAAACCCATAAAGCCTCCTTTGAACACATTAACATGTTACTTGTATGGGACACGTCAGCTAGTCACAATGCAGTCTGGAACCAAGGTTCCCCTGAGGAAGGTAAGTAAGTAGGCAAAGCCTAACAAGTTACAGAGTTGGTGTGGCTTGTGAAAGGTACACGAAAGAAATATTAATTAGTTGGGAAAACACAATGAAATTAAAAATATTCTAACTAAAGCACCGCTGGGGAGTTGCCAAAAGCTTTCGTTTCAGCCGGACACTCCCCTAAAGGCAAAAACAAGGGAGATCAATTGGATTTCTTCACCGACATGACCTCAACATGGTACATGGCTCAGCTGCCATTTTTGCCTTCTCAAAGGAAAGCTCTTCTGAAAGCTTTGACAGAAGATCTACATAATACATTATACGAGCACTTCTATCACCTCTAAGGGAACAAAGCTAGAAAAACTGAGTACCTGAGTAGAGCAGACGGAGGACTAGACAGGACTCAGAGGCTAAATCTGAAAAGTAGTTTCAAGTCTAAGATGATTACCATTCACCACAATCAAAAGTATAAACTCTCCACCTCCCTCTGCAGAAGCATATGCAGAATCAAGCCAAAGTCAAGAATCTCCAGATCATGGGCTTTCCTGGTTTGTCCACAAAACTACCCCAACTTCCTTGATTTATGGGCATAAGGAAGAACCTCTCATCATTGAGGAATCTTATAGAATGCTCAATAATAAAGCAACTTAGAACTTTGGGCTGGAGACTCTAGTTGTTTCTAACATGGATGTAACAGAGAAAAGCAGGGCACCAGCTTTGAAGGACATTCTTGACCTAGGGAGAGGAGAAAAGCAGAAAACTCCAAGTCCACTAAGGGACCTTGCCATGAAGACTTACCTTATATAGTACAATGACAACCCCAGAATAGATAGATGGAAAATCTTTTCCAAACTATTAAGCCTAATTATGCAAACAAAGATGAATTAAGTTTAAAAAATCTTCTTGTAAGAATGAAAGTACATGGCTGTCCTACATCCAGCTAAGCTACATAGTGCCCAACAGCAAAACATTTCTATCCCGGGACAGATTTCATCCAAATGAAAACAGAAAAGGAAAAAGGACACTTGTATTAGTTGAATGGACATTGCTGCCTTTTCTTCCAATGCCTTTGTTTCCTAACTACCTGGTATATTTCAACTGATACAATTAATGGCCTGTATCTTGGCCAATATCTTGTTGGCCAAGATAATACAATAATACAATACTAATACAATTAATGGCCAATATCTTGTTCGGGCTATAGACAGACAAATAATGATGTTTGCCCTTAAACATGTCTAACCAATCTCTCAGTGTCAGAATCTGTGCTGCACCTCTAAGAAGTACAGCACAGAAACTCACTGCCTTGGTGGAGGGCACAGCTAAGGATGCATTAAGCCACTTTTGTGCCCTCCTAATTTGGGGCTGAGCCACAGCCACCAGCACAATTTAGACACCTCTGGGGCCCTGTCTCAATTGTTGTGTCCATCCTGGTTTTCTGTATGGGTGGCAATGATTAACAGAATCTCCAAAGTTCTGCATATTGTGGTCCCGCCCCCATCATGTGCCTTCCATCCCCAGCCCTGCCCCTTTTCTGGGGCTTGTGAGGAGGTCCTGGAGAGACAATCTTATGACTAGCTCATGGCCTGCACAGGGAAAAATCCCCCCCGACACAAACAGGGCTTTTGAGGGTCCTTCTTTACCTTTCATAAAGGGGCCAGGATGTGGTGACGATCTCATCCTTGACTCATCCTCAAAGAATCAATCCTGAAGCACTTGCATGAGAGGAAAGTGATCAGGAACAGTCAGCATGGATTCACCAAGGGAAGGTCATGCCTGACTAATCTAATCGCCTTTTATGATGAGATTACTGGTTCTGTGGATGAAGGGAAAGCAGTGGATGTATTGTTTCTTGACTTTAGCAAAGCTTTTGACACGGTCTCCCACAGTATTCTTGTCAGCAAGTTAAGGAAGTATGGGCTGGAAGAATGCACTATAAGGTGGGTAGAAAGCTGGCTAGATTGTCGGGCTCAACGGGTAGTTATCAATGGCTCCATGTCTAGTTGGCAGCCGGTATCAAGTGGAGTGCCCCAAGGGTCGGTCCTGGGGCCGGTTTTGTTCAATATCTTCATAAATGATCTGGAGGATGGTGTGGATTGCACTCTCAGCAAATTTGCGGATGATACTAAACTGGGAGGAGTGGTAGATACGCTGGAGGGGAGGGATAGGATACAGAAGAACCTAGACAAATTGGAGGATTGGGCCAAAAGAAATCTGATGAGGTTCAATAAGGATAAGTGCAGGGTCCTGCACTTAGGACGGAAGAACCCAATGCACAGCTACAGACTAGGGACCGAATGGCTAGGCAGCAGTTCTGCGGAAAAGGACCTAGGGGTGACAGTGGACGAGAAGCTGGATATGAGTCAGCAGTGTGCCCTTGTTGCCAAGAAGGCCAATGGCATTTTGGGATGTATAAGTAGGGGCATAGCGAGCAGATCGAGGGACTTGATCGTTCCCCTCTATTCGACATTAGTGAGGCCTCATCTGGAGTACTGTGTCCAGTTTTGGGCCCCACACTTAAAGAAGGATGTGGATAAATTGGAGAGAGTCCAGCGAAGGGCAACAAAAATGATTAGGGGACTGGAACACATGAGTTATGAGGAGAGGCTGAGGGAGCTGGGATTGTTTAGCCTGCAGAAGAGAAGAATGAGGGGGGATTTGATAGCTGCTTTCAACTACCTGAAAGGGGGTTCCAAAGAGGATGGCTCTAGACTGTTCTCAATGGTAGCAGATGACAGAACGAGGAGTAATGGTCTCAAGCTGCAGTGGGGGAGGTTTAGATTGGATATTAGGAAAAACTTTTTCTCTAAGAGGGTGGTGAAACACTGGAATGCGTTACCTAGGGAGGTGGTAGAATCTCCTTCCTTAGAGGTTTTTAAGGTCAGGCTTGACAAAGCCCTGGCTGGGATGATTTAACTGGGAATTGGACTAGATGACCTTCTGGGGTCCCTTCCAACCCTTATATTCTATGATTCTATGACTTTTGGGCCTGCGGTCTTAACTATGGGCTTCATTCTGATATATTAGGAGGGGGGGAAAGGAGGAAAAAAAGGAGAGGGGGGCCACAAGCCACCATTCTGTTTTTGGTTCTTTCTATATTCCTGATCACCTAACCAACTGTTCTGGGCTGGATCCTGCTCCCACTGAAGTGAATGGGAATTTTATCAGTCACTTCAATGAGAGCACGATCAGTCCTCATTGTTAATAATCCAGAAATTGGCTCCTCTCCACCATCAATGAAGGACAAGATGGCAATAGCCAATGGGGCAGATCCTCAGCTGCTGTAAATGGGCATATCTCCATTGGCTTCGACAGTGTTACTTTGATTTAGACTAGCTGAGGATCTGGCTCAGTTAATGGAAATCATTGCCTATCCTAATGAGAGAGCTTCACCTGTTTAGGGAGTTCTATATTTTTCATTCCCATTTGCTGGATGTACGCAAGATCTCTTCTCTGTGCAGGCCTGGTGGGTGCTATGCACATTAATTTTTTTTTTTTTTTTGCTTTATGTTGTATAAACTGAAGAATATTATGAACTTTGCATTGAATGAAAAATGTATTAAATATAAAAGATATTCACAGACTCTAAGGCTAGAAATGACCACTGTGATCATATAGTGCGACCTCTTGTGTAACACAGGCCATAGAACTTCCCCAAAATAATTCCTAGAACATATTTTAGAAAAACATCCACTCTTAATTTAAAAAACAGTCAGTGATGGAGAACCTACCACAACACTTGATAAGTTGTTTCAATAGTTAATTACTCTCACCATTAAAAATGTACATCTTATTCCAGTCTGACTTTGTTTAGCGTCAACTTCCAGTCATTGGATCATGTTATACTTTCTCTGTTAGACTGAAGAGTCCATTATTAAATATTTGTTCCCCATGTAGGTACTTATAGATTGTAATCAAGTCAATCCCTAACCATCTCTTTGTTCAACTAAATAGATAGAGCTCCTTGAATCCTTCCATGGAACAGAAGCGACTTTGTCTGTACAAAGTGCAAGCTGGTCTCCATATTGGAGTACTGTGTCCAGTTTTGGGCCCCACACTTCAAGAAGGATGTGGAAAAATTGGAAAGAGTCCAGCGGAGGGCAACAAAAATTATTAGGGGACTGGAACACATGACTTATGAGGAGAGGCTGAGGGAACTGGGATTGTTTAGTCTGCGGAAGAGAAGAATGAGGGAGGATTTGATAGCTGCTTTCAACTACCTAAAAGAGGGTTCCAAAGAGGATGGATCTAGACTGTTCTCAGTGGTAGCAGATGACAGAACAAGGAGTAATGGTCTCAAGTTGCAGTGGGGGAGGTTTAGGTTGGATATTAGGAGAAACTTTTTCACTAGGAGCGTGGTGAAACACTGGAATGCGTGACCTAGGGAGGTGGTGGAATCTCCTTCCTTAGAAGTTTTTAAGGTCAGGCTTGACAAAGCCCTGGTTGGGATGATTTAGTTGGGGATGGGTCCTGCTTTGAGCAGGGGGTTGGACTAGATGACCTCCTGAGGTCCCTTCCAACCTTGATATTCTATGAATCTGTCATTATAACATGTTTTCTAATCCTTTAATCATTCTCACGGCTCTTCTCTGAGCCCTCTCCAATTTATTAACATCCGTCTTGAATTGCTGCTTGCCAGTTTAGCTGTATTCTGATTACAGGTAAAAGCCCTTTTAAATAAATGATGAACTGTATAATGCATACATATATTTGAAATATATAGAACTCCCAATAACCTAGATGACAAATGATGATGAAAGCAACAGCTCGTAAAGAACTTGACAAAGTGACTCCAGGTTTAATAGGTTTTTTGTTGCTGTTCACTGTAATGCATGTTTGTTTTTCTGTCCTAGTTTTGCTCAGTTGTCATATTTTTAAAACAAAGACAGAAGGAAGCACTACATGGAGAAAGTGTGAGCAGAATGATGTCACAGCACAGCATCAAGAATGCTGAAAAGGAGAAAGGACAGCACAGTGACAAAAAACACTGTCCCAGGTCCATCCAGCCATCAGGTTCTTCATGATTTAATAGCACCTATCCAGTCTAACAAGCCTTTGTTCTCCCCTCTTAAAAATATAATTCCCATTGATCTCAATGGAAATTATGAATGCAAAGGAAAGTTTTCATTCCTGTATATATTTTGATCTTTCTATTACTTTTTTGGTGTTTGTTAACACTCATGCCCCAAAAGGCCTTGCACAGAATATGATTAACTCAGACCTGACAAATGTTATGATAATTCAACCACATGTTCAAATGAAATCATTAATTCAGAAATTGACATCTGAAGCACAAAATATACTATAAGGTGTGTGTGCACTATACAATATTATTATATATGTGTCTACACACACATTATATACATCCACACAGGCCTTGATGCTGTAAGTTATGCATATGGTTGCAGGAAGTCTGCCCATGCACAGTGATTTGCAAGACTGGGGTAATTTTATATAATACACACACACACGTAAAAATTATGTATATGTTTACACACACACACACAAACGTGTATGTACAAATTTTACTGAGCTACATCTCGTGTATAAAAATTCCATTCTGATATGGTCCCTTGACTTTCACAATTTACCTTTCAAACTAGAGATTTTAAAAAAAATAGTCTTTAAGCTCCCCTGATTTTGAGAAACTCACAGGTGACAAACTACACTCATGAACATCACTGGCTGATTTACCTGTTTGGGTTTTTTTCATAAAGACCTTTTCTTAACTCTCATGCCCCCTCATTTATTAAGCATTTCTAATGTAGACATTGTGTTTAAAAGCCAGATATGGCCCACTTAGTTCCACTTACATACAGACAAATAAATATTAACATACATTGCTCTTGGGCAGGTGAAAGAGATGTTCCGATTTTTCAAAATAAAAGTAGTTACATAACATATTAATCACAAAGTGCTGAAATACTTTAGATAGTTCAAAGTTCATATAGGTAATAACCAGTGAGACATCCTAGCAGAACAAATGCATAAGATATGTTACACGTAACATAACACAGAATAAACAAACTTTATTTTTGACTTGCATCCATACTTTGAATTCTGTGCATGAAATGTTGGCGACTTAAATTCAATGGGAATTTTGGATGTGCAAGATCAGGTTTAGATTTCCAGTCTGGACATTTGTGAAAAGCAATAGATGTTGAATAGCTTATTGCATTCACATCTCTAGCTCCTAGCCTTATGCTCTTACTTTGCAATATCAAATTAACAGAGCCAAAGAGTAACAACAGGAGCTCTCTGGCTGTCACTCCATGCTGAGAATAAAGAAAGGCTCTTTGCATTTTATGATAAATGAGGAGAACATCATGTTGGCTTAGCCTCTTCCTGGACATTTTTTGGCCATATTTTGCTCAGACATACCTATCTGAAGTTAATAGCTGGGAAGAGGCAGGTGTTGAAAAGCTGCAAGTATAGATAAAAGCAAACAAGACAAAAGATGCTAATGAAATGTAAGCGATGGGCGGTACATTATTTTGCAGATGGGTACAGTTGCATCTGAGCTTTGGGAAAAGGACTGTTCCTGAGGCTCTTAGGGCCAGATTCCACTGGGATGACTTTTTCAGTGACAGTGCAGTTTGTGAAGAGTGGGTGCAAAGATAACCATGAGCCGCCTTTACATGCCCCCTCCCAATTCTAGGGCTGTGGGTGCTGGGTCAGTCCCAAAGTACAATTTAGTGCGTAGTCTCAGGGCTCCTCCACCTTGTGCCGTTATGGCAGCCAGAGATGAGCTGAATGAAGCAGCTCTTCATCCAGGCTCTTTTCTTTGGTCATGCCCCCAACCCTGGGGCCCAAGATAAGGGTGTCAGAGAAGCCACCACACCAGCCTGAGCGTGCCAGAGTATTTCCCATGAGGGTGCAATGCTGAGGTTGCATATTGGGCTGGCACTGAAGCCTTTGTGTATTGGAGAACTGTTGCAGGGGAGCTGCAGCAGGGGCCTGTGTCTGGCCTGAAGTGTATATGTACCCAGTTAATGCAACTGCACATACAGAAACAATCCCATTTATATACCTCCATAATACATGGGAACATGCCATGCATATTATGACCTGAGAACTCATATGAGGGTGCATCTATTAGTTCCGAAAAGAAAAGCCACGACAATACTTAGGCATGTGGTATGTTGATAAAAGTCATGCTGTATGAGAAAATCAATCAACATATACTAGAAATAGCTGATCAAAAGGGACTCCACTTTACCACTGACAGCCAACATTTTGAAATGTATGTAAAAACAGGATATTTACACCTCTTCTACTGGATGTGTGACACCCACTGGTGTAACTGGGAACTTCAGCTGGGGGAATGCCAGCTCAAGGGAGCTACATCAGTTTACATCAGCTGAAGTTCTGGCCCATGGACTGAAACTGTGTATCATCCTTAGAATGTGGACTGTTTGAACATGACTTAGGTTTTCAGTGGAGATGCATAGATATTATTCATATCAAGTGTGACATCTTTGATGACAAGACTATGGGCCTGATTCTGATCTTATTTACACTGGTGTAAATTAGGAGCGTGGTAGCTCCCTGTAAGTTAGGGACACTTCAGTGGTGTTAGTGAGATCAAAAATCAAGCCTTCACTTTCTGTGTGAAGCTAACATTGGAAAGTGCACTCGTAGCTGACAGCTATGGCTATCCCCGACCATGTGACTCCTGTGCAAGCCTGTGCCATATGATGGCAAAATGAGCATATTACAGCTACGGTGTAATGTCAGATCATGTAAAATGTAATGTCAGGGAATGTAATATACTATAAAAATAGCAGAAGCAATGGGGTGGGGGATCAAACTCTGTGTTTTTTTTAAAACAAAAATAATAGAATGTCAAGATGCAAGGTTTGTCTCCTTGGTAACAAGGATCAGGTTTCTGAGCTGAGTTTGGATGGCTGTATAATACTTGAAAATATAATACCCCCTTAATAAAGGCACTTTTCAAACAAACATCACTGCTTTTAAAAAAATTGCGTTATGATAAAATATTATTATAATTATTTCTTTTGTTGAGTAAAAGGGACAGCATCTCTTTAACGAATGGTATGCAGACATTAGACATGCAAACACAGAAGAAAAGAGATAATTAAAACAAGGTTTGTACAGGGTTTTCCATTTCATCGGTGCTGAATTGTTCTAAAACTGTCATATGGTCACTAATTGGAAAAAAGAACTGATGGAGTATCCATCTTTATATTATGGAATGAAAGATTCACACACCCTCTTTTAGACTGAATCATTGTTTTGAAGTAAATATAAATTTTTAAGGTGTGTTGATTTGATTTAATTTGACTTTGTTTTTGAAAGTCCAAATGTTACATTAGCTTAATTTATTTGGACATATTTGCTTTTTTTTTATTTTCACATTCTACACATTTGTTAGAGTTTTTTTTTTTAAATCAAAATGAAAGAAAGAAGGAAGAGAAAGAAAATGGTTACTAAGAATGAAAAGTTGGAGAAGAACAGAATGGATGCAAAAACCATGGAAAAGTAAGGAGTGGGGAAGGGGTAAAAGAAAGAAAGAAAAAGAAAACCCTGATTTCTAACCATCTTTTTCTTCTGTGTGATGAAGCTTGGATGGGTATCTTCGGCAGATGCGCCATTTACCAAGACGCTTGAAGAAATTCTCCTCTTCATCTCGCCCATTCTCCAGGCCACCTCCTGGTCCACCTTCTGACAGCTTCACCGCACTAGTGAATTTCACCTGAACAAATGAGGAGGAGACAAGACTCATGTTCTGATGTGTTATAATTTCTCTACCAACTTTGCCATAGCAATGCAGCACTTAAGGACAGGCAGTAGTGTGGTACATTACTATAGCAACCGAATAGGAACTGTGCCCATATGCACCAGCTGAGGATATTAAGTATTCTGTAATTTGGCTAGGTAACCATTCCCCTTCTTTCACAGGGGTTCATACACATACAAGTAAGGAAAAAGCAGTATGACCAACTAGTAAAGTACATTAAGTATATTCAGAGGACCCAGATAACTCTCTGAGTGAAAAGAACTAGCAGGAGAAATGAAATGTTAATTACACTGACACTTCATTCCTGTGACACTGTTCATATGGAAGACCAAAGAAGGCACAATGACAAATCTCTAGCCAGCCTATAACAAGAATGAAACATGGAGCATATTTAACCCAGTTTTCTTCACTTCCCCAGAAGGAAGTCTTGAGATGCTGCTAGATACCAGTCATTACACTCTTCCTTTTCTGTTATTGCTTAGACACACATCCCCCCTCCTCAATGCTATGATAACATCATTTTACTGCCATCCTTATTCTATTACCTCATCACTGCCTCTTAGCCTTTCAAATCACATGCATCCTCACAAAACTGTGTGTTTCAGCTGTTCCCTGATCTTTCCAAAGACCGACTGCTTCTAAAGGTCCTCTTCAGTGTATTTCTAGTGTGTCCTATACTACAGCACTGGGAGCTGCTTAGAAAAATATGGAAGGAGAATAATTTCTGTCCAGTTATGGACCATCTCCACTCTGCTCCGCCCTCCTCTCAAGGGAAGGGAAAAAGTCACCTGCCATTTTCAACCTCTTTCCTTGAGGGAGGACCTGTCTTACATTATGCTCAAGGGACAAATTCTGCTGCCTCCCCCATGGTGGGATTATGCTGGACTTTGGGGAGAAGCAGGATTTGGGAGGTCTGCACAGGGGTGTGCGAGTGCAGCTCCACTGGATCTCTGTGCATGGAAGCACGCACGGCAGGGAGGAGCGTTGGTAACGGACCCGCCACTGAACGGACTCTCTGGCCTTTCACTTCTGTGAGGGCTGGAGTGGGAGAAAGCTAGGACCAAAGAGACTACTCCTGCCTTTTGTCTGGAACAGCTTCCAAGGAGCAGCTGTGCTACAATTCCATGGCCCAGGGGAAGGATTTCTCTTTCCCCTATCCCCCACCCGCTTCTTCCTGCAGACCTCCTGCAGCCAAGGTATTATGCTGGATGCTGAGCAGTAGATATGCTCCCAAATATGGAAAGACAGACTCCTCCTAGCCTTTGCAGGTGAGGAGTTGCACCGCTGTGGGCTCTCTACCTAAAGCCCCAGCTTCGAGGATTTTGTCTCTGGGTCCCATCAGCTGCAATATCCATGCTAATCATAGTATTTTCTCTGGGAGCTAGAAATGATCTATGAAGTAGCCAGACCCTATCCCTTTATCCTTCCTACTAATCTGAAAAAACACATTTACCTTGGAACTTTGTCTGATGAAAGACAGACGGTCTACAGAGCTGATATCCAGGAGGTCTTCCACCCCGTCAGCCAGCCCAGAGAGGGAAGAGCGTTTCAGCCAGTTCCCTGATGCAGATAAAGCCAGTCAGGACAATTCTGCAATTGTTCCAAGCTGAATACATCAGCAATACAGGCATATTTCTCTATAGCGCTGAAACAGTCATACCGTGACATGAGCAAAGGGTGAAGGACGAGGCATGTTCATGCTACATGCATTAAAGATCAATCATAGTTGAATTCATAACATGAGAGGCTGAGTTTTAGGACTGTAAAAGTTGAAAATCAACACGGGTCAGTGAGAAAGGATAAATTACATTTATTCTTCCTTTCTTATTGAAGTCTGCTTGGAAAGCTTCTCTTAGAGAGAAAGAAAGGATGGTCCAGTGATGACGGCTCCAGTCTAGGACTTAGGAACCCTGGGTTAAACTCCCTGGTCTGCCATAGACTTTCTGTGTGACCTTGGGCAAGTCACGTAGTCTCTCTCTGTCTCACTTCCCCATCTGTAAACTGGAGAAAATAGCTCTTCTCTACCTCACAAGGGGTGCTGTGAGAATAAATATATTAAAGATTGTAAGGCACTCAGACACTATGTGTCTTTGCTATACAGTATCCAACACACGCACAGAACAGATCTATTCTATCTGCACATGCAGTACATAGATATAATATAAAGGGACATACATTTACCTATGGGGAGTTTGAGTTTCTTTCGGAGTGAGATCCGTCGGGAGCGGGAGCGGGAGCGCCTGTCGGTGGTCGTTCCAGAGAGAGCAGTGGTGCACTCTGATGTGTCCTGCTCTGACTGGCTGCTGGTATCACTTGCTGCACTTTGCGACTTGAACATCTTTCGCCAGAAGTCTTTGCGTCCCAGAACTGCCCCTTGCATTTGCTCATCACTGCGAGAGAACAACACAGGGTTAAAAATACCTCGCTGTGGTTTGTATGCTGCTAAGTACATTTGAACAAGTTTCCCCGCTTCCAACCTCTCTTTGTTCCTTGTCATATGTTACTCTAAAAATTTAAACTTATTCTTCTTGATGTAATTTGTTAAGCTAGACAGTGTTCTCAGTATTGCACAATGAAGACACATTTTACCCTGGAGACTTTACAGTCTAAAAAGTCATTCTGTTTTTTGTCATTATGCTAAAGCAGCGTTTCTCAAACTTGGATCTGCAGACCTGGTACTCCAGGGGGTCCGCAAGTCATGCCTGGGGCCACTGGCTCCACTGATCAACTCCTCCCCCTCCCTCTCAGTGCCTACTGCATGCCATGGAACAGCTGTTCAACAGCATGCAGGAGGTATTGGGAGGGAGGGGGATGAGCTGGGATGGGGCGCACTCAGGGGAGGGCGCAGAAAGAGGCGGGGAAGAGGAGGGGCAGGGATGGAGTGGGGGTGGGACCTTGGGGGAAGGGGTGGAGTGGGGACGGGGCCTGGGGCTGAGCAGGAGGTTTAGGAGTCAGTGAAAAATTTTAAATCATAATGCAGGTCTTTGGGTTGCTAAAGTTTGAGAACCGCTGTGCTAAAGAATCATCCTCTATTTGGTCAAAGTGACCACTAATGTACAGGACCAATGCTTTTCAAGACTGTATCCCTTACAAAGTGTTTGTATATCAAAATATCATTTCAATACTGTGTGTAACTATATGAAATCACAATTCTTAGCAATCTTTTAGAATAATGACACTATATTCTGCTGCATACCTGTGACCCCAAAGTTCTGTGGCAGGACTGTGAGCAGAATGACTAATCCTAATTTTTCTCAGGAGATTCAAATTTTCTGTTCTCTTTACAATCGCACCATCAGATGAAAGTTTCAGAAAGTTTCATATTCATAAACAACCCTTTCTGGACTTTCCTCTTTTCTGTATTCTGGATTTTAATTGGCAAATCTATCTCCATTCCAGGAGAATACAGATTTGAGAGACATACAAAGGCTGGGCAAAAGAACTAACTACAACATTCAGATCTCAAAGCCAACCTCTTTTTCATAAGTTTAGGGTTTAGCCTTTAATTTCAACAAATCTTCTTTTGCTACAGAAAGTTTGAATAACTTCTGGACTAAAGGATGACCCTGAAACATTTAACAGAGCAGCACAATACAATAATCACCCTTAAACACTGTCTAATTTTGACTTAAAATAACTAGATTGTTCCCTCATTATTTGCAGTATTCCCTACACTTCTCTAGACTTGATATAGGGAATATTACAAATACTGAAGAAAAATTATATAGCTTTCTAAGGGCTTGTCTACACTGGAACTTCCAGGAAAGTTAATCCGAATCACTGCCAAAGTGAATTTAGCTAAACCAAATTAAAGTCATTTTAATTCTGAGCAGCAGCATCCACACAGGGATTTAATGCCGTCATAAATATAAAGGGAAGGGTAATCACCTTTAAAATCCCTCCTGGCCAGAGGAAAAATCCTTTCACCTGTAAAGGGTTAAGAAGCTAAAGGTAACCTCGCTGGCACCTGACCAAGATGACCAATGAGGAGACAAGATACTTTCAAAAGCTGGGAGGAGGGACAAAAACAAAGGGTCTGTGTCTGTCTGTGTGATGCTTTTGCCGGGACAGAACAGGAATGGAGTTTTAGAATTTAGTAAGTAATCTAGCTAGGTATGTGTTAGATTATGATTTCTTTAAATGTCTGAGAAAATAGCTGTGCTGAATAGAATGAATATTCCTGTCTGTGTGTCTTTTTTGTAATTTAAGGTTTTGCCTAGAGGGATTCTCTACGTTTTGAATCTAATTACCCTGTAAGGTATTTACCATCCTGATTTTACAGAGGTGATTCTTTTTACTGTTTCTTCTATTAAAATGTTTCTTTTCAAGAACTGAATGCTTTTTTCATTGCCCTAAGATCCAAGGGTTTGGGTCTGTGGTCACCTATGCAAATTGGTGAGGATTTTTACCAAACCTTCCCCAGGAAGTGGGGTGCAAGGGTTGGGAGGATTTTGGGGGGAAAGACGTTTCCAAAGAACACTTTCCTAATAAAAATAAACCCAGATAAATGTTTGATGGTGGCAGTGGAAGTCCAAGGGTAAAATAGTTTGTATCTTGGGCAAGTTTTAACCTAAGCTGGTAAAAGTAAGCTTAGGAGGTTTTCATGCAGGTCCCCACATCTGTACCCTAGAGTTCAGAATGGGGAGGGAACCTTGACAAATGCAATTTTACTAATCCACTTCAAATTCACACTTTTAGTTAATTTGGATTAATTTTCCTGGCTGTCCCTGTGTAGGCAAGCCTTAAGGCAACTGAAAGTTTCTAAGGGTGACCTTCTGTATTGCTGTGGGTATCTTTCCATTGTTTTAGAGCATGAGTAATATTGAAATAGTGACCTCAGCACATACAGCAATAGTTGCAAATCTATTGCATAAAATATACACAAGCTTCCTTTTTCACCTCTGATCGAGTCAGAACGGCAGTGTGTGTTTAGAAATGGCCCAAGGCCTAATCCTTGTTCCAAAATCTAGATCCTAGCTTCTCTTAAACTCAGATGGGTTCAGATTCAGTATACTGCTCTTAACTCACCTCAGCGTACAATACTAAAGCACTCATCTATCGCTGAACCCTGTATTCTAGCTGATATTAAAGACCCTATGGATGTAGGAGAGTTATCTCCTTTTGTTCTTGCCCACCAGCATAAATCAGGCCACTGGGCCCCAGCAGTGGGAAAGCTGCCGTGGCATAAGATGACAAAAAACCTATCTGTAAGAAGACGCATTTGAGCCCAGAATGTATCAAAAACTGGGCAGTGTTAGCCACATCCTTTCCCAGGCTAAGTTTATCAGGGTAAGTCGATTCAATGCATCTACTGGCAGAGCTTCTATGGACTAAAGCTACGCTGCACCTGACATAACCCCTGGGGTAAATCCCACCCCCTGCATCCTGGTGCAGGGCAATGTTGTTTGCATAGCCTTGCACCATCTGTGGTGTCTCTTGGCCCACAGTTTTTAACCTTTCCCAGCCTACCATTTTGAATGTTAGGAACAGTCTTTATTTCATTATCAGCACATCATTTGAATGTGTGGGTTATCACTCTCCTAGGACATGATGATTTAACCATGAATGGGAAAGCAATGTCTAAAGAAAACCTCTCTGAGCCACATATTAGTCTTGTATTACAGGTTTCTAAGAGTAAAGAGCAAAACAAGAACTGAACAAAGATTTGATCAGTTGGGACACTGGTCTATCAACGTGAGATTTTCAAGAGCGCTGATTTTGCTCACCACGTACGGATCTTCGGACTGGGCAAAACCTCCAAATAAATCAGACTAAAACATAAATCAATTCACCACTCATTTGTTTTGTTTAACTACTCTGACCATGCTTGCTAATTAGAAAATGTTATTTCCCCTTAAAGCAGGGCTTGGCTCCTCCACAATTCTCCCACTTGATCTTGCAATCAAGTCATAACGTTGCATTTGTGATTACACAATCATTTCCATGGCAAAAGAGATTATTCTCTGCAGATTCAAGTAGATCAGCACGAGGAGGAAAGATTGAGAGAGAGAGAGAGAGAGAAAAATACCCCAGCTGGGGCCTACTGTCCCACCACAGGATATGAACAGCTTCCTCTGAATTCGGAAGATCTGTTAGGTCTTCAAAGAAGAACTGACACAGGGAACTACCGCTATCTTCTCTAAAGACACCCATCTTCACACATCTCCACTACTGGTGACCAAAAAAGCCAAGGAAGTTTCCACCAAGAGAAGAAAACTGAAAAAATATGACAGGTAATGCAAGAGGCAGCAGTAAATAACTAAAGATAATTTAATTACAGAATTAATAACAAGAGTCTTCAAATATGTTAAGGGCGGTTATAAAGAGAACTGTGATCAACTGATCTCCATGTCCATTGAAGGTTAGACAAGATCTGTAGCAAGGGAGATTTAGGTTAGCTATAAGGAAAATCTTTCTAACTGTAAGGATAGCTAAATAGTGACACAGGCTTGCAAGGGGAGGTTGTGGCATGCCTATCATTGGAGGTTTTAAAGAACAGGTTAGACAAACACCTGTCAGGGATGGCCTAGGTTACTTGGCAGGGGGATGGACTTGATGACCTCTAGGGGTCCCTTCCAGCCCTCTATTTCTAAGATTCTATGAATATTTCTATGATTCAATTCATTTTGGGGGGGAAAATAATAAAATCAGTGTGACTCAAAAAAGGGAAAAACAAAGAAGAGGAAGATGCTAAAGCTGGAGGGTTTTCTTGAGAACTGTCACTTTTTGTTAGACTGAGTTCCTTGGGCAGAGATCATCTTTCCATTATGTATGCATACAGCACCTAGCACGATGGGTCTCCAGTCTATAGCTGGGGCCTCGAGGCATTGCCCCAATACAAATACAAAAATAATAATCAGAAAGCCGGTAGTGCAGCTCTGCTGACAAGGCAAGTGCAACAACCCAAGGGTGAGAAATGAACCAACCACTGGATGAATTAAGGGGCATGTAGTTATCCCACCAGTGTCGTTTTTAGACTTCCTGCAGGAGCAACAGCTTAGAATGCTGAGACCTACCTGGTATCACGTTTGGAGCATGGACGCACAAACAGGGAATTGCTCTGATGATGAGAATAAACGTTCTATTTATTGCTCAGTCATGGTTAGAAGTGCATTGGCAAATTTTGTTGCAATTTCATTTTGTGCTGTTCCATTTTGCGCTGGCCTGTGATGCCAGCTTTAATGTATCTTCCTCTGATACATGGTGGTACGGAAGGTGGGCATTTGTTGGACATAACCTGTAAGTTCAGCAGCAGCTAAACAAACACTCAGTACATTTCTTGTATCACCCACAGAGAAGAACCCTAACTGAACAGCTGATTGCTACTACCACAGTGGGAAATTCTCTGGTACAACACATTCAAACTACGAAATATTTACTTACTGCTCTGGGGTCTGCTGAGGACGGCTGGAGATGTAACTACGACATTCATCAGGGGCAGATGATGCCTGGCCTTTATCAATAACAACACTTCCCACCTCAGATCTATGCAGACAATACAGACAGTCAAATAACGTTAACAGATGGCATATCTTGCTTCTCATATAATTAACATTGTTCCCCGATCACTGAATCCAGCACTTCTGAAAAACAAATTTAAATGTGTGCCCCCATTACAGCAACTGGCCTGCCTATGCACATATAAAAAATGTATTGGGACAGGGACCTAAGGCCAAGATTAGAGTCTTGCATGGGACTTTCTTAAAATCTCACTCCCGCTACTATGGCAGTGGGTTCTGCGGAACCTGCAGGATTCTAGTTCTGCTGCAGGGTTCTACACTAGTCACGCACAGGGCTCTACCCAAGATTTTCAAAAGCTACTAGCAATGTTGGAGCCTCATTTTGTGAGTGCTCAGTCTGAGGTGCCTTAAAGAAGGCAGATTATCAGAAAGTATTGACCGCATACTTTTGGCAATCTTGGCCAGTGTGGTCTGCGTGTCTCCGAGGCCAAGAAAAGCATGCAACAAATCTGATGCTGCCAGTTTACACGAGACGAATTCATTTAGTTCCATTTGAAGCTCCCTTTTTGATCCATACTTCCTCTTTTGTCTCACACTTGAATGCAACACATCCCACATCCCAAGACAGCATGTCAAATTAATAAAGCAACCTAGGTTTCTTTTGTATCATGCTCCCCACACCTGAGCATAGGCATTCAGACCAACAGCTCTCCGCACCTCAAGGTACTGATGCTAATACTAAGCCATGTCCACATGATGTTGGGGGGTGGGGATTGCAATCATCCCTTCACACACAACCTCCATCCCTCCTCTTTCTTTCTCCTTCCCTGTGAATTTCCACTGCTTTGCTATCTTACTTCCTTTGTACCAGTTATTTCTGTTAGGATCCACATTTTTCATGGCTACTTCCACAGCTGCCTCACTTTATTAAAATTTAAGTGTGGCTTCTGTCACTGCCACACTCAAGTCCTGTACATTAGGAGCGGACATGTGCTAACAAGATGAAAACAAGCAACCCCTTGTACTTTCCTACATTTGTGTCTGTCGTCAGATGTTTGGCTGCCTGTGTGTGTTCTGTGCAACAGCTGGCACAGCAGATCTCGAGTGAACCGCCCAATAACCACAAAATTCATTTAGGTATGAAGGCGCTTGGTCAGGTTTCCTGCCGACGAAGCACGGTGCTAATGCCCCAGCTCAATGGTTACAGGTACACTAACACGTGTATGCTCGTGACAATGGATCGGCTCAGTTAGTGGTGGGACTTTCCACTATCCCTGAGGCCAGACAAAGATATTGCCTCTGAGATACATCTTTATACACCAAAACAAACAAGTTACGTATCACTCTTGACTTATCAGGGTGCCACCCTCTGACATACTGGGTGCCAGCCATTGCCTTGTACCTGTATCTTGTTTATTGAGGTGTTCTGGTACCTGCTTTCTGGAATGTGCTTCCGTGAGTGTTTTGTGCCGAGCACCTCTTAGGAATATGTGGCTTTACGGTATCAACCTTATGCTTGCCAAATTCCGTGAGCAGGGCCTGCCTCTTGCTCACAACTTAACTTTGCTTTATATTAGCAAGTTTTGACCATTACATTAGCCCAGGCCTCTGATACAAGGCCTTATGTTTCAGGCCCTCTTACTACAGTGTTCAGCATAATAAGTTATACAACAGTATATAAATCATTCAGACACAAATCTCTCCCAGGCACAAACTTTTTGCTCCCCGGAGGTTTCAGATCCTGCTCCGTTGTTTCATCTGTTTTCTTCCCCGGAATTAACTTTTCAGCACTGTCCAAAAGGGCGCTCAGTGCCACCCTTCTAAAAACATTCCCATGAGCCTCCTTGATAAATTGGACCAATTGCCGGATGTCACAGTACAATCCCTGAATAACAAAAGGAGAGAGAGAGAGAGAGGGACAAAGAGAGCTGTGTTACTCAGTTTGCATACAAGCAGGGAGGGAAACAAATTTTCCTTTTGTATGCAGCTAGGGTGATGCACTAGATCATGAAGAACTGCATACCTCAATAATTTTGCCAGCTGTTGTCTGAACTGTTCTTTACTTACAGGTTTATGTTTTTTCATTAGGGTCAAATGTTTCTCTTTGTAAGAGGAAAGTCAATCCAGGAGCCAGCTAAGAGACTCTGTAACCATCTGGGGCAAACTTTTGATAACGTAATCTATGAGTTACTGATCTGCTTGATGGTGTACATGACTAGTTTTTAAATTATCATCATTATTAAAGGTGGAGCAGGGGGCTGTAAAGAAATAATTTAACTAAGGCAAGGTTGCAGCTGACCTTCACATCAATCTATTAACTATCATAAGCATGTCATTATTGTTATGGGGCATATTCTGTACTGGAAAAAGGCAGTTTTAGATTATGCCAGGGTTTGTGGACCAGAGGATCTGGGAGCTGTGAAGGTGGTTTGAAGCCTCTTTTACCCATTCATCTAATCCAAAATGTTAAAAGGCAGGAAAAATCGTAGTGAAAAAAGCAGCATCTCAGATTTTTTCTTAATTATTTGAATAGATTACATCATGACAATAGAGAGGAATGACTCATACATTCACCAATCTAACTCCCACAATTAGATTTTTTTTTTACCTCATTACATTTGCGTGCATAACTGTAGCCCCTGGGAGGAGTTGGTATGGAAAGGGCACCCCTATCTCTGCAGGAGAGAACTTTCCAAAGGACCTGACTTCTGTTTCAGGAGCTTTCTTGAGAGCCCTCAGTCTATTCTGAAAATTCCAGCTGTGGAACAATGTGGCCAGTTCTCTACAAACACCAGATCAGTTGATGGACTAGCTGGTGCCCTGGCTGAGGTACTGATTCCACAAGATACTTATGCACATGCCCATCTTTAAGCACACACGTAGTCCCACAATAGGAAAATCCCAGACATAGCCCTCTCACATCAGCTCACCATCTTTATAGAGTGTGTAGTGGGCACTATGCAGCCTACTCACATGTTTGAAGTTAGGCATGTGCTTATGTACCTGGCTGAACCGGGGTCTCAACCACCTACCTCTTCACCTCTGGAAAGGCATATATCTTCTCAAGCAAAAGTATACCTGTTGGTCCTAACTGAGCCCCTAGCAGATGTCTGCCCTCTTCCCAAAGCTACACATTAGTTCGCTACGATTGGCAGCCTTTGCTAAGAGAGTTCCAAGAGAGAAATACAGAGGTACTGCAGGTCAGGACTGAGTTACCTTAGTAGGACTGTACTTGGGAAGCTTGCACAGCACCTACCAGAACTGGGTCACATCCAGCTCATGTAAACCAGCATATCTCCATTTAAGGCAATGGAACTACTCTGATTTATCCCAGCTGGGGATCTAGCCCATTATTCCTGGCTCCAGTTTAGTGCTATTCGTTTTTCCCTTTCATTAATGTCAAATTCACAATTAAACAAATGGAGTCCCCTTTTGAAAACACAGGGGATCAAAGACCAAACACAGTGTATAACCCTATGTTGTCTGGGTCAGATTTGCCCCTGACAAACATCTGAAGGATATGACTTTTTCTTAAACTTGTGTAGCCAGCCATGCCAATAAAGTCTCATTGAATTGAGACCTGATTTTCAAGCTCAGCTGCTTTACGGGGGAGAGAGGAAATTCAACTTGTAAAACCTGCACCTAAATCCTCACCAGGTTTTCAGAGCTATGCAGTTCATGCGTAGTGGAAGCACAGCGAGTGATCAGTGACTTGAACATGGCGCTGACAATAATACCTTCCACACTTTGGGCTGTAGACTTGTTGTCCACTGTGGTGAAGTTATTTCCAAACCCAGCCTTGTCTGCAAAATGCAAGCACAATAAACCATTCGGCTCGGCTGAGATGTTAACAAATTACAGATTAAATACATAATTACTTTTTAAATGTATTAAAAGATGTAATTCACACAGAATCATATGTTCAATTTTTGTGGCCCAACCTCATAAACAATACAGCAGATATAAGTGGCACGAATAAGAAGAGGGATTGAAATGATCAAAACTGTTTATCCTCTCCCTTTATTTCCTCTCTAAAACAGAGGGATACAAAATAACGAATGGAATAAGAAAGGCAATTCAGGCATTCCTTTTTCCCTACTCAGATAACATAGAACAAGGGGGCACTCAACTAAATTTACAAGCAATTTAAAACTGATGAAAGGAAATTCTTTTCAAACAATGAAACTCTGCTCTCACAGGATACTATGGAGGCCAAGATCTTAGAATAATTCAAACCACAGATTAAACATTTATATGGATAATAAAAACATCCACAGTTCCTTAGACAGGGCAAAAACATTCACAAGAGAGGGCTTATCCTTTGAAGGTGTAAGCCAATATGTAGCTGATGGATGTTAAGAAGAAACTTGCCCTGTGGGCCAGTTATTTCACAGTTGTCCACTATGGTGTTTCTTGCACCTTTAACTGAAGTGACTGGGATCATAGACAAGGAGATAAACTACTAGTGTGTTTTGATATGGCAATTCCTATATTCCAAATGCCCACAATTAACTACTTTTGCATGCAATGACCAGCGTACATGTACCATCATCATAATGGTAAACAGAATTGTTTGCCTAACTGAAAAAAAAATGGACTTACACTGTATGCACATAAATCTGAATGCAACTATTCTTGTTTACATGATCTGTTTAGCTACTTGCTGCCTCACCTTAGGCTCTGCAGAGAGATTTAATGCTCAATTATATCTCCATTCAGAATAAACAAAGAACACACAGTCCACTCCAGCTGGCATTTGGTCAAGCAGAAAACCTTCTGCCTGAGGCATAGTTGAGAGAAAATTTTCTTTCACAAAGCCATAAACAAACAGGTAGGATGCATTAAAAGAGAGAGCACATCTGCTTCTCTAATTCCAATTGTACTGGAAATAAAAGAATTTATAGGGCCAGACCCTCAGCTGGTGTAATTCGGAGTAGTTCCAGTGACTTTAATAGAGTTACACTGATTTACACCCACTGAGAATTTAACCTAGTAATTACAATTACATTTTCCTTTAGAAATTCAGTGCAACTTTTTGATAGTGGCAGCCAGCATTCCCTATTGTGGTGTCATCAAGTACAATGTGACTGGGGCTTGTGACGCCAGCCGTACTTACTGTCAGTGACCGGCTCCATGCAGAATCCTAGCAAAGCGTGAAGGAAATCCACTACATTATTGAGGGAATCTCTGTTCACATAGTCCCTCATGGTCTGCCGGAACTGCATTTTATCCAGCTTGTACAGCTTTGTAAGGCAATTCTGAGCCTGTGAAGATGTTACAAAAATGAGAAATATCTGCTTGAGTTTTGGTAACAGTTACAGGGTCCTTCAGGTGCATTTCTGCCCTTGTTTCGCCACTGCTGTGGGGTCATAACTAATGTCGCCTACTAGTCAAAAGGTTTGAATACCACAACAAGATATGGACTCTCAGCTAATGCCAACCATGCAATTCAGTCATAGGAGCCATTACACCACATTATCTTTTGGAGAAGATGTTAAATCAAGGGGTCACTTCTGCCCTCCTCTTGCAGTCCTCCAAATGGAAGTTAAAATTTCACAGCTGATGAAATGAGTAGGAACCCAATTACTCTGGCCAACGGTATAATGTTGATAAAACAGACTGTGGTGTAGGGGTGTCAGATTTTGAGCCTATAGCCCAGATCCAAGCCTGTTCATGTGTTTATCTGACTCCAGTGACCAATTCAGATGCTGCGGAACGCAAACTTTTATTTACAAAAATAATTCAGTGTTGACTCTTTATTGCAAAGTTAACTATCTAGGTGTGACCCAATGCAGTGAGGTGTTAGAAAGCCTGAAATATCAGCTCCAAGAGATGGGTAAACTGTCCGTTTCCTCACAGTGTGGTGTTGGTTCTGAAGCCCAATGGTAATACTATGATTTTCTAATAACTTAGATGCACAATGGCGCATCCAAAACAGCTTGGCCAAATAAACAAACAGCAGAAATAGCAGTCATCCCAAAAATGCCCTACAAATCTCTTTCCATAAAGACCCCAGATCAGCAAGGCACTTAGGCACATACTAACATTAAGCATGTCCCACTGAGGCTAACAGGATTATTCACATGCTTAAACTCAAGCATGTTCCTAAGCGTTTTGCTGGATCAGGACCTAAACGACGCAAAACTTAATGGCAATTTTACTAAGTAATAGCTTGGATGCTACATGACACTAGCATTGTAGCCCTGTCTCTCTGGTACCATAATGGCAAACAGAATTTGGTCCTCTCCAAAGAGTGAGTTTGACAGCCCTGCTCTAGGGCCTGATCCAATTCCCACTGAAACAAACTGATCAGCCCAAGGGAAAGGCTCCCATTAACTTGAATAGTCTTTGGATCAGGCCTCTAATGCTCAAGAGTATACTGCGAAGTATTGCTGACTGCATCATGGATGCGATGTTTGCCTACACAGTCATGACCAGTATCTTTCTCGCTGCTTTGGAAAGCATTTTGAGGAAGCTTGTGCAGAAAAGAATTTATTTTCATATAGTGCCTTTCTATTTTTTTCTTAGTTTCACATCCCTGACTTTGGAGGTTTATATAGACAGGAAAACGGTAGCGCAAATTACAGTGAAACAGGAGAACTGGTGAATTAGGATTTAAAAAGGAATAAAATTAAAAAAAACAGCACACAGACATTTGGAATTGCCTGATGACTATTTTGTATTTTCAGTTTAAAATGAAATTAATTACAATTTTTGTCTCCAGGAAAACAACTAGCTAGATCCTCTAATGTGGTGCAGCTGCTTTGCATTGCACTGTCAGCATAATCTGAATTTAAAGCTGTAGAACCCAGTCTGAGGATCACACTACTGCAAAGCAGTGTAGATCTGATTTAGGGTCTCTGATGTTTCTCCTCATTCCTGCTGCTAGTACAGTTTGGACAAGGAAGCACTGCTAAGACATTCCTATGCCTCACCAATCCTCACTTGTGTCTTCAGCCTCTTGTGGCCATTACAGCCCAGCATAAATTAAAGCAACTTTTTCACTGCCCAAACCAGAGCAGCGGGACCAGCCTGCACAGAGCAGCTTTGGAAGCAGGGGAATGCAAAGGAGAATTTTAAACACAGGGCCTGCTACTTATGTGCTCTGTGTTCCATCCCTGGCTCAGCCACAGACTTCCCATGTAAAACTGGGCAAGTCAGGTAGGCCTGAATTTTTAAATGTCTTTAGGCATTGCTGTGCTCAGTGTTGCAATGCTTAACTTATTTAGGAGCCAATATCTTATTTTCAAAAGGGATTTAGGTTCTTAAGTGCCTAAATTGCTTTTAAAAATGAGACTTAGGCGTTGTAACACTGGAGCACAGCAACGCCTAAATACCTTTAAAAATCTAGGCCTTAGTCTGTGTGTGTCTGTTAAATAGGGGTAATACTTCCCTGCCTCATGGGGTGTCACGAAGGCTATGAAGCGCTCAGCTTCTATGGTGATTAGGTCATATAGGTACTTAGATAGGAAGATCTGACCCAACATGCTGACGAAAGCCAGGATAAAAATCAGCAACGAGTACCTTCAGGAGTCCTATCTTTTAAAGTTCTAGTCCTTATTCTGGGGTTTTACAGCATGAATCCATCTCTCAAAACTGGTAAAAAATGCTCAGTAAATGGCAAGGAAACATACATCAGAACTAAAAGCATGCAAACAAACTGCAAAGTAAACTGAAGGAAATAGAAATACATCTGCATTTTACAATGTAATCAAACACTTAGAGAAGTTTAACTGTTCCTGATCTTGACTGGAGCGGGGAAATTTTTTTTTTTTTTTTTTTTTTGCAGCAAATATAAAATTTACTGGAAAATGCATTTTTGGGGGGACTGAAACTATTCGCAAATTTGGCAAACTGTTTCAGCTGAAAAAATTATTTTGGAAATGTTGAAACAATTTTGAAAATGTCATTTTGACTTGACATTTGAAATGTTTCATTCAACCCAAACAAAATTTTTCAGTTCGAAACAAATACACTTTTTCCCCACATTTTTCAGTGTGGCCACCAATCCAAAAAATCAGTGACTTGCTCTGCTCTAGCTTTGAGCCCATAGCACTCTGAGGTTCAGGATATACAGCTATACGCTTTGAATTCAAGGCTCAGTATCAAAATACAAAATGCTGCATGCACCTCTACTGTCAACTTTTTAACTAACTGAGTCAGTTAACGGGGGGGATCATATAAAATCTCCCACTCTAGGCCAGGTTTATAGCCAGGTCTCAATCCCACCTCCACCTCCATTTTCGTGGGCACAGTCTACACCCGCTAACGAAGCCAATGGGAATGCTCACTGTAGCAAGCATGATGGCCAGTAAAAAGTGTTTGTGAGACTGGGCCTTTAGAATTCCCCTCTTTGGCAGGACACTGGGCTCTGTGTTCCCATTGAAATCGCCTATACCTGGGTTTTAATTCTCTGGGATGCAATCAGAGCAATAACTGAGCAATTCTGGGCCCTTTATGCTGCTCGCATGGCATCAAAGGGCCAGCAAACTAGGTAAAGCTACTCATGATGGAGGAGGGGGTCTGCAGCAAGGGAGCATGCCTAGAGCACAGTGCACCCTGGCTATTCGGGGTTGCTGGAGCAGCCCATAAGCAGACATTCAAGGCCACCAGCAGGTAACTCAGGGCTTGTCTACACTTATGGATTTTTGTACCGATGTAATCAAACTGATATAGTCACCACTGTAAACCTCCCCAGTGTAGCCATGCTGCACCAGTGTACAAAGTAACTCTTGCTAGTGCAGTATGTCCACGCTAGGGCTTTGCAAATCTGCATGGCAGAGAAGCCCCTGGGCCTGCTCTAAATTGTGTTGGGCCCGAGACATGCCCCTAGCAGGGACAGGAATTTGAAAGGGACAAAGATGGCTTAAAGCTGCCTTGGCTCGGCTGCAGTGCTCAGTAGGTGCTGCTGAGATTGGGGGACAGCATTTAATGACGAATATGAAGGAAGCTGTGTTAACGGGGAGAGCGTGGGCTTCCCAACATCAGCAGACTCATTTCAGAAAGAAGGGGTTAGGGAGAGCTGGAATCTGCTTTAGTTCTCTTACATTCTCCCGGAATACCTGGTGTCTCAGACGATCTCCAGAGAGCCCTCGGTGTCCTTCTCCGCAGCCATAAGCACAGCCCAGGGATTTCACTATTTTGATCAGCATCGTCAATGCCAGCCTGTGGGTGCTTATGGGAGTGCTTTCATCCTAAGAGCCGCAGAGGGGAAACAACACCACGTGACACTGAGGTCAGGTAACTGGCATACCTTTAGCATCTGCTCAGAACACACCGCTGCACATTTTTGCTGGCAAACAGTCCAATATTATTCTGAATAGCTAAGTAACTCTTGAAAATGCTATTGATTTTTACCTATTCAAGCTCAGGACTTAATCCTTCAAAAACTTGCTATCAGGTGCAATTCTGACTACAATGAACACTGATGTCAACTGGGGTACTCCTAGTATTCAGCTATCTGCCAGGTAGTAAAGCTCAGATTGTGCTACCTGGACTGATAGTGAGTACTACTTTACTGAAAGTACTCCCATTGAAATCCATGGGACTACTCATAAAGTACTACTGAACATGAGTAAGAGGGGCAGAACCAAGTCCTAAGGAACTCAAGGATCAGAACCCTAGTCAAGTAACAAAATGAAGTCTGTGTTGTCATCTAGTGGATAAGGCCCAGGATGTGGAGTCATGAGACCTGGGTTCTATTCCTAGCCCTGTCATGATCTGCTGTGTGACTTTGTCTGTCTTGTCTCATTAGATTGTAATCTCTTCAGGGCACTGTCTGTCTCTTCCTGATTGCACAGTGCCTAGAATGTGGGAGCCTCTAAGTGCTACCGTAAGATAAATAATAAAAAGCAGAAAAATTCAGCAATAATTTTTCCTGTTTTAAAAAAGCACTTGTACAGTATGTAAAACAGCACCTATTCAAGGCATCAGGAATACTTGTTTTATCTTAAAAATGCAGCCACGCTAGGCCAATTAGGGCTGCTTAGCGGAGTTGCTTTGCTTGGGTAGCCACAGCAAAGGGTGCTGAATTCTCCATGGTGATGCATGCACTGGGTTTGATGTGGGTACCGCAGTGACACAAATGAATACATCTTAGAGGTGCAAAGAAAAGAAAACCTAGTGGTTTCCCAAAAACAGAAAGGGAAAAGGAAATGATAATTACTCACCCACATATGCATACACACACACACACACACACACACTTGACATACCTTATGTCACATGCATGTATTCTCTATATTACGTGGTACCCAAACATACCTTTTCTTGATTTTTATCATTCTTTTCATAAGGCCCTCCACCTCCTCCTCCACCACCTCCATCAGCTCCGCCGCCACCTCCTCCTCCACTACTTCCTCCACCTCCACCTTCTTCTCCTCCCCCATCTCCAGTTCCACTGACTGGGGGGGCCCCGAATCCACAGCCTGGGCTGCCCGAAGCAGCTCCCTTGAGCTGGAAGGATCCCTCACTTGGTCTCTTTTCCGCGGCCTCATTTTCCTTGTTCTCACTCTTCCTTCTGACTTTCTCCACGCAGGGCACCACGCCAAGCTGCAGCAGGCACTCGACGATGTTCAACGCCACATCACAGATCCGGGAGCTGATGTCGTGGTTCAGAACCAAGTAAACGGCCTTCAGAACCACCTGGAGAAAGAGGACAACAACATGTTTTGGTCAGACTTGTTTTCTGTATTATCATCATCATCATCATCATTTCGTATTTGTATTACATTGGCGCATAAGAGCCCTAGCCATGGACTGCTTACAATCTAGATGTAAGTCAAGAGACAAGAGGTGTCTTGTCACAGACACACAGTCGGGGAGCACAAGGGAACAATCAGACAATATTGGTCATCATGGTAGGCAGTGGTCTCAGCACACCAACAGCCTAACCATCATCAAGTTTTTTGTAGACATCCCAGCAAGAGAGAGTTTTGCGGAGGGATGTGAAGGAGGATAATACATTTGTTTTGAGGATGTTTATGGGGAATTCCTTCCAAATGTAATGGGCAGCATGGGAAAAAGCACAAATTTAACAAGTGGTCGATGGAGCATGGTGTTAGAGGCCAGCTGGAGGTGGAAGTCAACAAACATCTCAAGGAATGAGAGAGGCTAGAGAGGGTAGGAATAGGCTATGAAGGACCTTGAAAGTGAAGAGCCAGTGGAGGGATGCAAAGAGAGGGGTGACATGATCAAAGCAATGGGCTAGAAAAATGATCTTTGCAGCAGCATTCTGAATGGATATGAGCAGGGCAAGATTGCATTTACCAAGGGCTGAGAGATGGACATTGTAGTCACTGAGATGTCAGACTATGACAGCCTGGACAAGAATGTCAGCTGTGTGGATGGAAAGTAAAGGCCGAATCTCAGAGATGTCATTCAGAAAGAATCTGCAAGGTTTAGATATAATCTGGATGTGAAGACCCTCAGAGAGATCTGAGCTGAAGATGACACCCAGGTTATGGGCATAAGCAACAGGCAGAATGTTGAGGTTTTTCAGAGTGATTGAGAAGACGGAGGGGGAAGTTCTTGTGGGGGTGGAAAGATTAAGAGCTCAGTTTTAGCCATGTTGAGCTTGAGCTAGTGGCTAGACATCCACAAGGCGATGTCTGTGAGACAGGCTGAAATTTTAGTTTGGGCAGAAGGAGAGAAGGTCTGGAGTGGAAAGGTAGATCTGTGAGTCATCAGCATAGAGAAGGCAGTTGAATTTGTGTTTGCGGATGAGATTGCCCAGAGGCAAGGTATGGAGGTAGAAGAGAAGGGGACCCGGACAGAGCCCTGTGGAACCTCCCAAGAAAGATGGTGGAGAGGATGAGGAGGATCCTTCTAAGGACATGCTGAAGGAGTGATTAGAGAGGCGGGAATGAGAAGCAGAAGAGGTCAGTCATGGAAGCCAAGGGAGGACAAAATTCCAAGAAGCAGTGAATATTTTAAATACAAGGGTTTGATTTTGAATGTCTTCTTCTCCCTTGGCTATTGTGAGAGTTTGGATTCACTACCCAACTCTATCCGCTCGCTCCCTCAACAGAAGGAAGAAGGTAAACGATCTGCCAGAGCTGGAGTCTGGGCGGTGGTGGGCTTTGCTGAAATTTTGACATGGATGAATCTCTCACCTTTCAAGGAAATCTATTTCCCTCACAAAGATCTTTTCTGCTAGTCCAGTGTCAGAAACCTCTGTGATAGCACTAGGAAATGACTCTCAGATAGTTAAGGCAGCATGGTCTACTGGGTAGGCCACAGGCATGCAGGTCAGGAGACTTGGGTTCTATTCTGCCACGGATTTACTGTGTAAACCTGGGAAAGTTACTTCCCCTCCCAACAGGCAGGGACCATCTCTTACTATGTGTTTGTATCACTGAATATGTTAGGATCTGCAAGGCAGATGCCTACACGCTTGACTACTTCTTTTAATTCTTACTAAATCCTGTTAAATGTGAAGGATTTATCTCAGTAAGTACACTGAAATAATCTCTCTTTTCATTAGAGCCAACTGCAAGGATCTGTAAGGCAGATGCAGTGAGAGGAGAGATGGTTACCTGAGGAATTCTCTGCTTCCAAACAATTAACAAGCCTTTTAGCTTGCCAGAGGAAGGATCATAAATGAGAAGAAAGAGAAGGAAACGTTTTCTGTTATAATTTCTTTGCTTTCCTAGGTTTCAATCAGAACTTTATGGGTGTATTCTCCCTTGGTGTACATGTATTACTCTCTCGTTAAGAAGAATAGAAGTTGCATTACCTGAAAGACTATACCCTTTAGTATTTTTCAAATGTACCCGACTGGTCTTGAATGACCTTCCTGCCATGCTGGAATGGATAGGTATATAAAGAGACTATGGAAAAAAGCTCTCTCAGGTTAGCTCAATGGCACAGCTGCATTGACAGAAGAGGGCTGAGGCTTTTCTTGTTCCTTTGCCAATTACCGAAAGATCCAGCATGCCATTCTTGTGGACAAAGTTGTTGGTGCCGTCAATGTGATCCGTGTCCTCTAGGCAGCTGTAATTGATGCAGGAGTCAGTCAAACTCCGTGGGAGATTGGCGCAGGCCAGCGGCTCATGGGGCATCTCTGGAATGGGCACCTGGTTGCACAGCTTCCGCATGTGCTCGCTGAAGAAGTCCGCGTAGCCCACGTTGAATGAGGCCAGGGTGGTGTTGAAGGTGGCCACAGTGATGGTAGAAATCTGGGATCGCACTGTAAGACAGAAAACAGGTATCTTGGCCTTTCCCGTTTTAGTGACAAAATTACCCGTTCAGGCTGTGCTTATTACGGTAATTAGCACCACAGGCAATAGTGTAATTTGTTTTATTATTTCTAAATTTGTCAGCACATAAGTATCTTAAGGATCAGTTAGAAACGTGAGCATCACAGCTCTCCAACTTTTAGTAAGCCTTTCAGATACAGAGCTGACCTAGTGCATGGCAAACTGCTCCCGGAATGAATGCAGCTCAGACGTGAGGAATCTGCAGAGCAGCCCAGAGAGGAGAGCTTTGCCTGAAATGTGTAAGCACCAGGGAAGAGGGAGATGTGCCTACGCTAGATTTTAGCTGACACAAATCCAGCCTTTCTCAGGCTATTCAGAATTGTTCAGAGAGTGACTTCGGAAAATGAATCCCAAATGCTCATTTCACGCCACCCAAATACATCTTCCTCTACTAGCTGTGTGGCCTGGTAGCTCATTCATAGATAGTGCCCTGCTCAGCATGGGGGTATAAGGTAGAAGACGGTGCTCCTGTGCAGGGGGCAGCAGGCAGGAGGCACAACACAACAAGCACTAAGAAGTGCTGGTAGTACTGCTCCAGATTAGCCATACAAGCCTCTCAAAGGAGACAGGGGGAGCCAGGCTCGGTCCTCTCAACCCACCTCCGCAGTAGCCAGCAGAGCTGGATCCAATAACTGCATGCTCCAACTTTCCAAAGGGTGCAGCAGCAGCGCTCCCAGCCTGGTCCTGGAGGCACTTCAATCTGCTCCCCAAGGAGGGCTGTGGCTCCAAGCTACTAGCTAGCCTGGCATGTTTGAAACTAATTCCAAACCGTTTTGTGCCAGGCCTCCAGTTGGAATCTGGGGGCTCAAATGAACTAAAAGAAAAAAAGAATTCAACTGAGTCGGAGACCTGCACTGAGTCTACCCCAAAGGCTCAGTGGGTACTGCAAGGCGCCCTCTGGTTCAATGGCACATCAAGCCATTAGGAGGCTCAGCATATGGTGCCTTCGGGATGTTGGCGACAACCTGCTCTACATCGCCATCTTTATGGACCCAGCTGAGCAATGTATTCAGCATCTGAATGAGACTGGCTGCAGTGCAACCCAGAGAAGTGATGACAGGTGGAAGGAGTGGCGGAGATTATATCAAGTGCCTAGATTGAAGGTGCACAGCTGCTTTTTGCTACTCAGGTTCTTCCCTTAGGGGCTATGTCCAGAATACGCATGTTGTAGCTGCGGTCAGGACTTTATCTAGTGAAAAGTGTTGTGTTGCAAACCCTCCCTGAGCCCTGTCTGGGGCAGAATGACTCAAGCACTCAGTTCTATGGCTAAAAACTGCCTTGTTTTCTTTCATTCCTTTAAAATACGCTTTTAGCGTATGGCTCGGCAAAGAGTGGGTTAACATTTGGAGGACGTTTTCACAAAAACAATATCCTCCTTTTTTTTTTTTCACATCAACATTTTGAATGAAAAATTTCATTGCAATTTCAAATTTTGAAACTTTTTGACCAGCTCTATTTCTTTCCTTGCTAAAATCTTCAAAGCTCACTAGTACCTTGGACTGTGGCTGCACACACACAAAAAGATTAGCTAATCAAGTAAGAACAAATAAGACGCAGAGTTTCAGCAACTTGACAAATTCCTATGTGGAGGTGGACAATACACCACCAATATTAGTGAGAGTGGATTGCCACTGAGTTAAGTATCTGCATGGGAATAGAGTCCCCTTCTTTGCCAGGATTAATGGATTTTATATTTTACGTTTTATAGGAAAAATATTGTCAAATGACAACGGAAGAGGAAGGATGGTCCAGTGGTTAAGGCATTAGCCTAGAACTTGGGCAACCTGGGTTCAATTTTCTGTACTGCTACTGACTTCCTGTGTGACTCTGGACAAGTCACATGGCCTCTCTGTGCCTCAACTCTCCATCTGCAAAGATTACAGCACTTCCTGCCTCACAGAGGTGTTCTGTGGATAAAAACGGAGAGGTGCTCAGATACTCCAGGGGCCATCTGAGTACAGCAGAACCTCAGAGTTACGAGCATCTCGGGAATGGAGGTTGTTCATAACTTCGAACAAAACATTAGGGTTGTTCTTTCAAAGGTTTACAACTGAACATTGACTTAATACAGCTTTGAAACTGTACTATGCAGAAGAAAATGCTACTCTCCCTTTATTTGTTTTAGTAGTTGACGTTTAACACAATACTGTACTGTATTTGCTTTTTTTGTTTTGGTCTCTGCTGCTACCTGATTGCGTATTTCCAGTTCCAAATGAGGTGTTTGGGTGACTGGTCAGTTCGTAACTCTGGGGTTCATAACTCTGGGGTTCAACTCTACCAATGATAGATGGAAGACTTAAATGTTTTCTGCACCTGGCTAAAAGGGAGGCAGCAGCTGTCTATGCTTGATTCCCGTCCTCCCCACCCTAAGGCAGGAAAACTTCTCATTAGTAATAGTGCCAGCCTGTTAAGACTGAGGTGTCTTGTATAATTTTAGCAGCCCTACTATAGGGAAACTGTGGAAGTGCTCTTGCTCTATTGGTAGCCAGTTCTGTTACTGTAAGAGGAGGGGGTCTTAGCTCTGATGGGGTGGCCATATGCTGATAGGAGCAATTACAATCTTCCTACCTTTATGGCTCTTGCCGTTTTAAATGGATAAAGCACTTTTATCAATTTCCCAGAATTGCCAACCCCAAGTGTTCAAAAATCATGAGTCAGGTCCAAAAAACAATCATGAGATTATTGTTAAAAAACTCTCATGATTTTAAAGTCAAATTCTGGGTTCCTTTTCCTTGCCTTCTATTTCTTGGGCCTTTAGGGTTTCACTTGCTTCATTTTTTTTTTGAGCTTTTCCCTGAAATCATGTGGGTTATAAATGAAGTTTTTAAAAATAAGGGGAAAGCTGAGATTCTCATGCAATCTCTTGATTCCAGCAGTTGGGTCTTTCAGAAAACCATCAAATATTGTGAGACACACAATGAAATCACAAGAGTTAGCAAAATTGACTTCCTGCCCTAAACTTCTGTGCAGTGTTCCTGTACACTGTTAAAAAGGTGCTGTGTCCCACCCTAGAGGTGGGTGCATGTCCTTTGCAAGAGATTATAATGATAATCCTAAATAGGACAAAAAGAAGAAACAACAAGATATATAGAAAAACCAAAATGGGAAAGAGGGGATTCATCAGATATTAATCAATTAAAAATATAAAACTATCTCAGCCTCCTGACGTTCACACTCCAGTGTGGTATTTTCTCATCGCTATATTTGACACACCTTCTTTAACGGTATTCTCTCCGTGGCTGTTTGAGTGGTCAGGCAAGTCAGCGACCAGGGTGTGATGAGAGTGAGAATGTCTAGCACTCAGGCTCTCCATCTCCGTAGCTGTGTCAGAACTCCCCCGTCTGGTGAACTTCCCTAGGATGAACACACCAAACAGACATTTAGTTTGCAAGTCTAAGGAACGCGTGAGGGCTAGAAGTTGAGATGTGAGAATGGGGGATGGGGTTCACTGAGATTAGCAGGAGTCCAGACCTCACTTGAATTGTGTGAAACAGAGCCCAAGTGGAAAATCCTTATTGAGGCTTTGTCTACACTACCACTTTTGTCGGTCAAGGATGTGAACCCCTCCCCCCCACCCGACTGACGTAAGTTTCCCTGGCAAAAGTGCTGGTGTGGACAGCGCTATGTCAAGAGGAGAAGCTCTCCTTCTGACAAAGCTAATGCCGCTCATTGGGAGTGGTTTAATTATGCCGGCAGGACAGCTCTCTCCTGCTGGCAAAGTGCGGCTACACGGGAGACCTTACGGAGGCACAGCTGTGTCCATAGTGTAGACATAGCCTTAGTGTACATCTAGTTACTCAAGCAAAACTCCCATTAATGCCAGGAGTAAGACTGGGGGAGGGTCATTCTCCTGGGACTGACTGGAAATATGTTTTGCCCAAGTCCTATTTACTTATTAGAAACAAACTGACCTAAACATGGTCATTCAAGGTCAGCAGTCAGTACAACAACGAACTTCACCTTAGAAGCTGGCAGAAAGACTATGCCATTTCTACAACAGGTGTGGCAAACTGCAAGTCAGGGCAAAGGACATAACCAGCCATCAAAGGGAGGGCCTGTTTTCCCGTGCCAGAGTGATGGAGAAATAAAGAGCCTCCGTTCCACTCTGCTATTCTTGGAACATTCTGGAGCAGAAAAATTAATCAGAATACAGGGTTGCGATATTAATCCTTTCCCATCAGTCACCTAGTATGGCAGTTTGCCATCCTCCTCTCTCAATGCTGCGCCGGTCCTCTCCGATCCCAGAAAAGCTGCCAAAGGAGAATGTGCTGCGAGTGGGTGACACATCCAAATGATCCTCGTGGAGCAGAAAGGGCACCCCCATCCTTCGCTGCCGTTTTTTCCCAGTGTGGTGGAAAGGAATAGAACCCTTGCGCTCACGTTCTCGATCCTCTTTGCGGCTCTTAAACTGCAGAAGGAAGAGGAGAGGGGTTAGAGCCAGGCAGAGGCTACACGGATTTCACTACAGTTAGAGGGGAAGGACACAAACAGATGAAGGACAAGCATGCAGAGCCCAATCCTAAATTTCCCCACTCTAGCCCTTTGTCTATGATGGGTATCTGCACTCCAGCACCACCCACATTTAAGGACCGCACCAGTGCACCTCATGTTGGGAAAACAACCACACTTTGCTACGGGAAATGCTAAGGTGATGATTTACTTCCCTTGACATCTGTCTCAACCCATCCCTCCAGTTTTATAATTAAGACATTCTTTATTTCAAAGATTTTTCATTATTACTGTTGTTGGACCTATATTTATTTTCTTTTCCCATTTCTCTCCTCCCTTTTTTGTGCATTGCATTCCCTTGTTTGATTAATCTGCTTAATTTTTTATATTATGAATCTTAATTTGTTTGTATAACCTTCAACTCCCAGGCAAGGACCTTCCGGGGAGAGTGCTTTGCAGATTTAGACTCAGATCTCAGGTGTAAAACCAGCATAGATCTATTGAAACTGATGGAGGTCCTCTGATTAATGTAATTTGAGGATCTGGCTGCAAACCACCGCCACTTAGGGAAAACTCCCATTGATTTCAATAAGAGCTTGATATGAATACAGATTTCATCACTGGGCTCATAGAGTAAATATGAATACATACATGTATATAGCATACACGGACACATAACATGTCCATCGAAAAAAACAAATTTTTGCCTCATGTTCAACCTAAATATAGACTCAATGTAAACTTTTAACAGTTGTATACATGGTATGTGTTTTGGCACTGGATTGTAGATAAACCAAAAACATATTACTGTGCTACTCACCTTCTTAAAGATGTTCATTCCCATGTCTGTGGAGAGATCTGGCACAGCTAGCCTGCGCAGGTTGGTGAGTGACACCTTAGCAAAGGCCTCAGTGCTTAGTGATTTTTCCTCCTCATTGCACTTCATTGTGAGATCCTTCACTCCCCAAAAGAAGAAAAACATGCACAAGTAGAAATAGCAAGTAAGCAACTAAATCAGGGGTGGCGAACCTAAGCCTGAGAAGGAGCCAGAATTTACCAATGTACATTTCCAAAGAGCCACAGTAGTACGTCAGCAGCCCCCCCATCAATCCCCCCCCACACCTCCCAGCGCCTCCTGCCCACCAGCAGCTCTGCCGATCAGGCCCTCCCCACACCTCCCAATCAGCTGTTTTGTGCCCTGCAGGAGGCTCCAGGGAGGAGGGGGAGGAGTGAGGGCATGGCAGGCTCAAGGGAGGGGGCGGGAGGGAGTGGAGTGGGGGCAGGGCCTGTGGAAGAGCCAAGGGTTGAGCAGTGAGCACCCCCAGCACATTGGAAAGTTGGTGCCTGTAGTTCCAGCCCCAGAGTCGGTGCCTATACAAGGAGCCGCATATTAACTTCTGAAGAGCTGCATGTGGCTCCGGAGCCCCAGGTTGGCCACCGCTGAACTAAATCATCTACTTCAATCCCATCCAAGGACAGCTCCAAAGGAGAAGAACCTTAATTCCATCAGACAAAACTCCACTCTCACATTTTAGGGTTAAATATATTTAGAGATTCAGAGACGAATGATTAGTTCTAATAGTTTATCATTTAAAATGACAACATTTTGCCACTACAAAAACCATCAATGGCAGGAAGCAGTGCACTGGACTGGGAGTCAGGAGACATGCAGTCTACTCCCAGCAAGAACACTAGCATAGTGTATGAGCTTGGACAGGTTGTTTCACCAGTTTCACCAGCAGCTATGGATAATTATAATTATCTTCCCTTATAAAGTGCTTTGAAATCTAGGACTAAAAAGTGATGTGTAAGAGGCAAGTGTTAGTTTCATGAAATATACCAATAATATCCAAAATACATTAATACAAGGGTTCTCAACTGGGGGATGGAACATCTCAGGGGGTCGTAAGGTTATTATATGGGGGGTCGCAAGCTGTCAGCCTCCACCCCAAACCCCGCTTTGCATCCAACATTTATAATGGTGTTAAATATATTAAAAAGTGTTTTTAATTTATAAGGGGGGGGGGTCGCACTCAGAGGCTTGCTATGTGAAAGGGGTCACCAGTACAAAAGTTTGGGAATCACTGCATTAATGTTTCTGAGTTATCGTGTGGATTGTGATGAGCAGCATTGTCATCACCCTCTCCATCTAAATAATGTTAAGAATTACTTGGTTTGTACAAATACATACATTTTTATCATTTTATTAAATGTTTTTTAGAGGCTCAGGCTTCATTAAATGAATAAAAAACAAAGCTGATGTTTGCAGTGAGCATCCTTAATTCCAGCAATGGTGCTCTGGGATATCTTTACTTGTGTATCTTTACTTACTGATACCTCCTTAATTTTTTTAAAAGCCTCAGGCCTCAAAACATCCTAGGAATCCACTTATCTCTAGGTATCCAAACCCCTTGGTGGACTGGAAACTCAGCATGTTTCTCTCTTGAGCCTGAGTTGCTATAGCTATATGATGGTAAAGAAGGAGGTGCAGGAAGGTGGCATCCTTCAAGAGAAACATAAAGCCTGGTCCTGTCCACTTGTGGTAATCAAAGATTGTTTGGCACGTGTCACAGGAGCAGGGCTGTTCGCTCCTGTGACATGATCAAATCCCATGCAGGTAATTCCATTCTGCCTGCCTAAATATCACCATATTGTTTCAGCTGGAGAGGTTACTCTCTTCATTCCGACACCAGAACTAGTGTGTAATGCTGCTGTATGATGTTAAAAGAAATCCTGCCTGTCACTCCAGAGGTGGCTGCACCTCAGTCAGGGGTGAAGTGATTTCTGTACAGTAACAGGTTCAAGTCCTGGCTACTTTAGGCCCAGTCCTAGAAACACATAAGCATGTGTGTAACTTTACTCATGTGATTGATCCCACTGAAGTCAGTGGAACTACTCACATTAGTAGAGTCAAGTGTGTGTTTAAGTGTCTGCAGGACTGGGCCCTTGAGACCCTTTTCTCTTCATACTGTTTTCCAACTTTAAAGATCCCTGTAACCCCTACAGTTTTATGCCCAGAATAGGGCATTCTCACTTGCCAGCCTTCCACTGAGTAACTCACTCCCCACACCTCCATGTGATAAAAACCAGAACACTCTGCAGCGCTCATGTACCGCTACAGGTTCGAGGGAGTCATCTAAGGAGATAGATCTTTTTCAGGGAGAGAGTTATTTCAGTACAACGGACATTTGGCCAAATTGGACACATGGAGTTTTGCATGTGCTCTTAAAACCATCTGCAAATTTGACTGCAGATTACAAGTGGCACATGACAGAGTAAATCCAATAAAAAGGTAATCAGGGCTTGGTTCTGGTGCTGGGCACTCTCAACTCCTATTAACATCAGCGGCAGCTGAGGGCAATCAGCAGTTCCTAGGATCAGGCTCTTGGATTGCAAAGTGCTTTGGGATCCTTGTGAATGGAAGGCACTACACAAATTTAACTCAGGGTTATCATCACTGTGCATTACTGATAATCACTGTATTATTTGTATTGGGGTAGTGAAAAGGACCCAAACAAAAATCAGGTCCCTACTGTGCTAGGCACTGTACAAACACACAGGAAGTCACCCTGCGCAGAAGAGCTCACAGTCAGCTATTCAAACAAACCACTGTATATGAATTGAGTCACACAGTCAGCTTTACTATACACTATGCGATACGGCCTATTTTGAGAAATTAGTCTAATGTTCTAGTTGAAGACTGGTTAAAAATGTGGTTACAATCATAGCCGATCATGCAGCTTCTCTAGTACACATAAGGTGTGGCTAATAAGAAAACCCACAAAATTGTTTAAAGGCTGTTCCTATATCTCTTTTCTCCTATTGCCCTGTATTGGCCTGGCTGTTTAGCTATGAATTCATTTGTATTTCTATCAGCTTCTGAGTATTACACTTGAAACTCTTGGGTTTAAATTACCATTACATCTAGTCATCACAGCTTTGCTGTTTTTAGGTTTAAGTTTTTGCTCTTAGCTCCTGAAGAGTTATTGCAAAGCTGTACAGTTTTGAAAGCCCTCAAGGTTTTTATTTCCTAATTCCATCCCTATGCTGGATTCACTGCATATAGGTGCACTGCAGATTTTTCCTGACACTGAAATACATGTTGACTAGAGTCACGGAGAAGGTATTTGTTTTATTCATACACCTTCATTCACTTGCCGTTCTGCTTTGCAACAAGGAACAGGATATGTCATTGATGGCATGCTGCATGAAATATTAAAATATATCCTTCATTCTATGATTCTATGATTCCCCTACAGCCTGAACTGAGATTCTCTTTCTCTAGATATATAACAGTACAACCATTTGATCAGAACTAGTTTGCTGTGATATGCACAGAATTATATTTTAATGGTATTTCACATATAAAAAGTCTGCATGACAGACATGCTAAGGCTTAGGAAGGTAGAAGAGGTTACGTGACAACCCCACAGCTTTTCTATCCACTCTGTACTCCATCACTAAACCTACTTACTTGCCTGTTCCTGAGCTGATTTCTGTGCAGTTCTTTCTTTCGCCATGTCTAACATCAGTTAATGAAGACAAAAGGACCAGATGATAGAGAAGATGACCAACGTACCATAAAACCCAGTGCTGTCACTTTAAAAGTGTGGGTCTCTCCTATATTGCAACATGAAGCCCTAATGAGAGGAGGCCATGGACTCAGAACCAATTTAGGGCTCACATTTTGAATTTGTACCATCTGAGCGTGGACGCCCGATATTTTATTCTGAAAGCTTGATTTTCTATTGGAAAAGAATAACTTGGGTTAAGTAAAAACAGAGGAAGAATGCAACTTGATGCGGCTCCTGCCAGAAATGTAAGAAATATGCTGCAAGCCTACTTTTTCAGCTTAGCACCATAACTCACTCACTAGTTAACAATTTCTCAGCCTGCAGAGCCTTCCTGAGAGAGAAAGAAATGCCAAGCAGGCAGAAAAACAGAGAAGAACATGACTTCTTCATTTCTGTGCCTCAGAAGCCTAAACCCATCACAACTGCCTCAATCACTGACATACTCGTGCATAATATGTTTACTTGTGGAATATTAATCAGCCACTAGATGTCGCTGTGTGCTGTATAGCAGTGGTTTTCAGCCTCCAGTCAGCGGGGGTCCGCAGACTATGTCTATGATTTTCAAAGGGTCTCCACCTCCATTTGAAATGTCTTAGGCATCCGCAAATGAAAAAAGGTTGAAAATCACGGCTGTATAGAGCTCCAGACAGGGAGTGGTCTCTGGTGAATAAGGGAGACAAAGCTGAAACTCCAGCTGTGTGGAAGTTGCAGCTGCTCTGTTTATTAAACACCTTCATTTTAAGAGGGACTCTGATTCCATGTAGCATGACAGAATGTATGAAACTCTGATGAGAAATTTCAGAGTAGCAGCCGTTTTAGTCTGTATGTGCAAAAAGAAAATGAGCACTTGTGGCACCTAACAAATTTATTTGAGTGAGCTGTAGCTCATGAAAGCTTATGCTCAAATAAATTTGTTGGTCTCTAAGGTGCCACAAGTACTCCTTTTCTTTCTGATGAGAAAGTCACCTTTAGCAATCTAGTCTAGCCTTGAAAAAAACTGCTGTTCTGGATGGAACCCTCACATCAATGACCAAAAGACCACCCCCCACCCCCAAAAAAACAACCAGCAAAGTAAAATACATTTACATTTAACTGTGAATAACCAAATGGATTTCACAAAGATGTTAGTAAAGAACAACAGAGTAAAGGGCTCTCCTGTAGGAGAAAAAGTACTTAAAAACCAGGTAGGACCTGAGAATGTGAAGCTGGGAGAGGCAGATCTGCTACATTGCCAGGGGATCTCCTGTCATGTACAGAAACACTGATTCCAGAACTCCAGTGTGATGTCTAGCTGATGCAAATAACACATCCATCCACACTGCTGCTGTGCTGAGAACCTTTGAACAACAACTTTATTATTGCACTAGCATTCGGGAAATTACACGCACAACAGCAAGTGTACTTGCTGTGCTGTACAAGTGTACAAGTGTACTTGCTGTGCTCCAACCCCACGGTGTGCTGTTTGCTGCCACGTTTTAAAGAAGGTGGTCTTGTGTCTTGAGTCTTGTTTTTCATTTCAAGGAGAATACTGTATCGAGACTGTGATACCTATTCTTTTTGTTTCTCTTAGAATAGCAATATGGCATATAGTTAAATCAGACCTGAATGCTGAATTCCGGTGCAATAAGACTGTCTATGCAATCCACATATGGACATTTCCGATGCTACAAGTGACTTCACCACAGTTCATGATATAATTAAAACCACAGTGCTGAATCATGACTAATCCTGCCATCACTGTAAAGAGTTACCAAGATTACTTTTAAATGAGGGTCTCTGACCTGAGTTTTGTGGGTGTTCACCAGAGAAGGTGCTGCTGCTACCATGGAACTGCTACGGGGCCTGGGCAGGTGCATGGTCTCCGGCTCAGGGGGCTTCTCCGGCTTCTCCTCCAGCATATGTCTCAGTCTTTGTAGATAATACATCAGAGACCACTGTGTACCCTCCTCAGACCAGTGTGCCTGCAGCAGGCAGCGCAGTACTGCCACATCAAAATAGGTGGCATAGCGAGACTTTTGGCAAGGCGGAATCACTAATGATACCCTGTTCCAAATAATAAAAGGAGAAGCATTAGAAATCAGCTAGAGCTAATACTTTCCCTCAAGGTGCAGAGCTCTGCCTAAAGGTTCCTTCCAGAAAGACACTTATGGCAGGTCTATGCTGCGATAAAAAACCCCATGGAACAGAGTCTCAGAGCCTGGGTCAGCTGACTTGGGCTCACAAGACTAAAAATTGCAGTGCAGATGTTCAGGCTCAGGCTTGAGCCTCCCCCACTTGCCAGGTTTCAGGGCCCAGGCTCCAGCCCAAGCCCAAATGTCAACACTTCACTTGAATTTTATAGCCCCACAGCCCGAGCCCTGGAAGCCTGAGTCTGCTAACCCCCCCGCACCGCCAAGCTGTGGCCCTTTTATTGCTGTGTAGACATACCGTTAGGGTTTGCTTTTCATCATTCACTCTAGGGCACCACTTAATTGGTCTTCTTCTTGTAGGTGGAAACTATTCCTGTGTTACCCTCCAGTTTGGGGAACAGAAGTCACCCCAGAGACCAACACTAATGATGCTCCATTTACCGGCCACTAAGAAATGGTTATAGACTGAGAAAGAGAGAAGTTGTCACTCTCCACAGAGACTCAAGTGCACTAACAACTGACAGGCTTAAAATCCACCTGGTCATTAAAGAGAGAGTCTTAAGGCCTCTTCCACTCTCCTCACATCTGCAGAACTTTCAGCTACTTTCCAGCTACCAGGATGCTTAAGTAATTGATTCTGTTTGGGCTGACAGAGAGGTTTGAATCTGGGGATAAGGCACTGGTTCAGGAAAGCATCCTTGCTGAAGAAAGCACTTAAGCACGTGCTTAACTTTAAATCCCCAGTGAGACTCAAGCACATGTTTAATTAAGCATGTGCTTAGATGTCTTCTTGAACAGAGATGCATTCCTAAATCAGGGCCTAAAAGCACAACAGGCCTCTACCACTTGCAATCAATGACTAAATCCTCGAGCAGGAATCAGGAGCAGACTCAAACCCCTGCTGGTCAGGCTCTAATGGGAGGACATGTAACATGTGAAGGAGCAGGTTACACAGTCAGGTGTTACTAAAAGAAATGGCAGCATGCTGGGAACGCCCGGTAAAATAATCACTTAAACTAATTGAAACGGATCTGGTGGCTCTCACGTGAGTAAGTGCTACTGCTATATAAGATGACCTCCCTTTTTGCCCCTGGATAGTAGAAAATATGACATATGTCACCTTTCCCTACAAGTTTCCTGGCTGCTTTTGGTGGTGTCATTCCTGAATGTTCTTTTGATATGGTTTTTAGTGTGAAACATCCCTGGTATTTTTGTTTCCAGACTTGAATGTACTGGACAGAGAGAAAAGAATGAACTATGGGATCTCAAAGGGTGAGCCCTGGTTCTTCCACTGAGTTGCTGCTATACATGAATTCTCACTCACACACATGCAAGGTTCTTTTTTCAATAAAACCATCAGAAAGTATTAAATTATATTTTTGTTGTTAATCTTCTCAAGCAAAAGCGTAAGCCCCAAATTCCCTCTCACTGAGAATCTACAAACTAGGTGTGGTCCCAAAGAAATGTTTGCCCGTGATGCCACAATATTTGCTGGCAAAATTCTATGGTATTGAGAATAATCAGGTCCATGTTAAGGAATGAGCACTCCAGGCCTGTGCTTAATGCCCCAGCACCTGGGGGAGGCATTCATATCAGAATTTCAGCTTTCATCAGAAACATTCTAGCCCTCATAGCTGCAAAGAAAAGCTTGGAAATCTGATTTCAGTGTAACTGATACAGTGATGTCTGCCCAAGTCTGCAGACAGCATGAAACAACAGCTCTGAGAGGGGTGAACTGTCCCATTCACCCCTGTGGGGAGTTAACTCCAAGGCCCATTGGCATGTGGGGCCTTGACCAACACTATCCCAGCAGAGCACTCACAAGGGAAGAAAAGCACAGAAAACCCAGCCCCTCACTTATACAAACACCCAGCAGTTGGGGTAAGTACTGGGGGACCCCCTTGCTGCTAACCCTGCCTTCTTGGCGGGAAGGGGGATCCTCTGCCATCATCACTCCAAGTAGCAGATGGAGCCATAATGCCAGGCTAGGGCAGGGTCAAGAGGTGGGGGGCCAGTGCTGTGGTGACCTTGAGCCCCACATTGCCTTAATGGGACCCAGGTGAACATGACTGATCTCCCTCTGTGTATGGAGATTGAACAGATCTGTGGTTTGATGTGCTATTTCATAACCTGGAAGATTTCTGGATGCAGTTCTAGAAGCACAATTGTGTGAACTGAGTACCTGTTGCATTTTAAAACTTTCCATAAGACACAAAAGAATCAATAACTGCCTCATGAATGATGTTCTCGTGCATTTGGGACAAATCACAACAGCCAACAATTTTTACCATTAATATTGACAGGTCTACGGAGCCACATGAGGAGGCAGGCTTTCAAAGACAGGCACCCAGGCAGGATGTCCATATCTGCATTCGGACACCCAGCCCGGTACTGAGCAGCCCAATCCAGGAAAACATTTAAGAATGAGTAGTTCCATTGACTTCAGTGGGACTGTGCTATTGCTTAAAGTTACATACATGCTTCAGTGCTTTGCTAGATTACAGCTTAACTGGATACAAGACACTTGACAGAGTTAGGTTGCTGGTGTGCTGGGACCACTGCCTATCGGGCTGACCAATATTGTCTCATTGTTTCCTTGTACTCCCTATGCAGTCTGTCTGTATCCATCTGTTGTCTCTTGTCTTATAGTCGAGTTTGTCTCAATGAACAGTTAGTTCACTTCAAGCTGGGGTGTGAATCTACCCCACAGTAGCCTGCTGCAGACAAGCTGCCCACTGGGACTCTGCTGACACACATTAACAGTTTGTTAATGTATTTTGATCTAGTCCAGGACTAGAACGGTTAATGTGCATCAGCAGGGTCCACATGGATGGTCAGTCTGTGGCAAGCTACTGCGGGATAGATCAAAGCCCACCTTGCAGCGAACTAAATAGTCATGTAGACAAGCCCTTAGATTGTAAGCTGTTTGGATGCAAGCACTGTCTTTTTGTTCTGTTTGTACAGCACCTAGCATATCGGGGTCCTACACCATGACTGGGGCACCAAGGCTCTATGATAATACAAATAATAATAAAAATATAAGCCAATTTGAGCATTCAAATGTAGGTTTTTGGATATTCAGTTAAGTAGGGTTCAGCAAAAGGTTTGCAATGCTGACCCCACCTGCAAGCAGGGTAGGTTGGCAGTTTCTTCCTGGGAAACATTTGCAGATGGGGTGGCTGGGAAGGATTCATCTCCAAGAAATGTGTTCATTCAGAACTCAAAATGTTCAAGCAAATCTGCAGGAGATGGTTTGCTGCCAGCCTCTGTCAATGGAGGACACCATAGACTTCCTCTAGGTCTTTTTTAAAGGCACTCACTTTTGAAAACTAGACCTTAGGTATTGGCATATATTGCTTTATTCAGTCTACAGTTCAAATGTTTCCATTAATACTGCAGTCAAGATAAATTGTGATTACAAGTGGGGTGATTTAAAAAAGACTTTAAATAAGAGAAAAAGAAAACAGTGATAATTTAAAAACACCTTTCCCACCAGACTGACATCAGGGCTCCCATCATACACCCTTCTCAAAACATTACAAAGAGAGAAATGAGTGAAATGCACATGAGGAGAAAACAAAAGGGCCAAGACTGGATCAGAAAGACAGCCTGTACAAAGGGTTGCTGCATCACTCCAGCAGCATTCCAGAAAAAGAATTATCCCCAAAGAAAAATAAAATCTGCCCGCCAATATCTCCCAGACCAGCTCAGCTGAACTGACCAGCAAGCACAGAGGATGAAGCCAGGACTCTGCCTATTCCCACCCCCTTGTAGAAAGGAATAAGGTGATGCATCTTTCTCTGCTCACTCCTCTGCGATCAGACCCAAGGTCTAGGGGAGCCCCTATTGGAGCGTAAGGGAGATATGTATTCTCTCATGCTCCCTTACGTGGGCATGAACTCCAATTCACAATCTAGCTCAAAAGAAGGACTGTTTTTCTGAAATATTTACCATTCAAGCCCTGCTTGCAAAGTCTATTTCCAAGGCAGAGACTGACAGCCAGCTGCAGAATAAATGGCTGGGGTTTTACTACTGCAACGGTTCCAGTGAAATGAAGAACTTCACTGAATGGAGCGGGGATATTTATCCAGGATCAGAGGAGCAAACTGGAGGTTTGCTGAATGAGGTTCCAAGAAAACATAATTTAAAATCTTGTGCTTTGCTTTGAATTAAACCCTGTGGACATTTCATCAGGTACTTGACGGATAATTGCGGGGTGAGTGGGTGGCATATTTTGTCCAGCTGTGGGCCCAAGGACAAAGGAATACTGGGCCGTTGATAACAGGAGTAAATAACATTTGTTTCTGAATTGCCTGTTGCTTGGCAACCAAAACTCCCTGTTCAGTTTTAATTGATCAATGAGCTCTCCAAATGAGGAGACATTAGTGACGCTCTCTACAAAGCCTGTCGGAAGCTTCATCTCCATAGCAACCACCAGACTGAGCTGGATAAACTGATCACCTGATTCAGTCTTCTAAAAGGTTGCCTGCTCCCTTACTTTTTATGGGTGTGTGTATGCACGCTGAACGATGGCGTACATGAGGAACAGTTTACATTTAGTAAGACAATACTCAGAAGTAACAGATGACTTAGTTTTACCAGGTAATGTTAATAAAATGAAATAAAAACTCAGAATTTATATGACACAAAACCCACTGAAGTCAACAGAAAGACTGCCAACTAGATCAGGTCCGTAAAGAATGGTTTTACCCACTGAAGCAGGTGACAAGATAGATCAATAATACGTATTTTGAGAAAATAGTTGGGAGGCGTTTTCGGATTCAGAGAAATTTTGAAACAGAGATAAAGTGTTACTATAATGAAGCAAATTCTGAAACTCTTGAGTGTTTTTGTTTGAAATTTTCTGGTGCAACTGAACATGAGGGCCAACATTTTTAAAAATAGGAGCCTAAGAAAAATATGTTCAGATTTTCAAAAGTGCTGAGTATTCACAAACCCTAATGGGAGCTGACCAGTGCTCAGTCCTTCTGAAAATCTGCCTGTATCTTCCCCAAATACGAATTAAGGAGGTTAAATTTAGGCTCCTGCATTTTAAAATCTTTGCCTAAGCCCTACAAGGATGGCTGAGAAGAGATTTGAGAAGCTGTTCTTTTGCCTGCCTGCCAGCCAGCCTGCAGTAAGTGAACTGAACAGCTGTATGTGAAGAAGGGGAAATGGAGGTAGCGGCCAAGCAGCACTTAAAAGGGAGGAGAGGTACAGAAATGCTCTGCCACACAGGGAAAGAGAATTACCCAAAGGGCAGCAAAGACAGATCAAGCCCCAGAGGACATGCCCAGCCAAGGAACAATGAGCCTAAAGTTTGGGGTTTTTTTTAAATCATCAAACTCCAAAATATAAAAGGTCCTTGTCCTCTGCTCTGTCCTCATTGCTCTATAGTTGCTATCCTAACAGGCCAGCTGGGCAGTCCTGTAAATGAGATGGAATGAAGTCAGTGTGACTGCCACCATCTCAGATGACACACCGGCAACCAAACTGAGGACTTCCAGAGCTAAAAGCATGAGCTGTTAGAGTTTGTGCTGAAGAGACAAGGCTCTTTAGTTGGCACTGTAAGACTTATATCCTTTGGGGATTGGGCAGAGTGGACCTGTAACACACACTCCCCAGAAAGTTATACCAACATAGCTTTTCGTAGGTCTCTGTACCTGGAAAGTGGAGGTCCTCTGTCTTGGGATGTTTGGGACGACACACTTCCATCAAAGGAGTTTCCCCGATGACAGCCTGAAACAGTGGCCCTGGGAGGCACAGCATCTGGCTGGGCTGTTTCACACACCACCTGAAGTCCCTTAGGATATTTTCAATAAGAGAAATAAGTTTAAAAATAGATTTGGATCTTCCACATTAGCCCTCTTACTATGTATTTATATATTAGTATTATTTATACTAAGATAGCATAGAGGGGACTTGATCAGGATTGGGGCTCCAATGTCCTAGACACTGTGCAAACACATGGTTTTCATTCCAGACAGTGTATAAGCTAAGGCCCTAATCCTATAAACTATTTCACCTGGGCAGACCCTTAAACCTACATGGAGTTCCATTGATATCAATGGAAAGTTATTTGTTGCTTTCAAGGTCAGGGCCTAATGCAAGATATGACTTCACGAGTGATGATATGTTGTTATTATAACAGAGGATAACAGTAATTTGAACATGCAGTAATTTAGGCTGGATAGTGCACACCTTGATGGCTCCAAATCATCGAAAAACGTGTTTTTATTTAAATGAAAATGGAGGGCACTGGGCCTCTCTTCTTAGCTCTGCCATGTGTCTTTACAATATTGGTGATGGCTTGTTTTCTCTTTTTATATAGGTTTGTAAGCTTTATATTGATCCTTTGCCCTGAGCCCCAATCTCATTCTTTGCAGTGGGTAGGCCTTGGAAATGATAAAATCAATTATAAAACACACAATTCGATAAAAGCATTAAGATGTTTCGGAGACCTGCATAGTAATTGCAACTGTCATTCCAAAATTCCCTTCAAAAGACCCCATCAATTAAAAAAAAAAAAAAAAAGATCTCCCCACAGCTCCCCACTCTTGCTTGTCTAGCCATATGCCCACCTCTGTGTGTCCAGTGTCCAGATTAGGGGATTCACAAGCCAGGCTCTGGTTACTAGTAGGAGAACTTCTCTTGGCTGGGATAAAAATAAAAAGAGAAATTTTAAAAATGTAATGCTCATGTTGTACTAATCAAACAAATAAGCTATTAGCCATTGTAAAAAATGGCATCCCCCTGACTGTAACATTACCAGATGTTAGCTACACCTGTTGGAAATTATAGCTGGTTGGCAATTTGCTGTTGATTTTTTTTTTTTTTTGTGGGGGGGGGGCACAAGAAGCGCAGTTACCACAAAATCAAAATTTCCTGTGGGAATTGCTGCCCCTTGCAAAATAATTTTGGTTTGCTGAGCTGAACTGAAACATTTCATTCCAAGACAGTTTGACATTAAATTGCATCGGCCTAGTGTGCCACAGTGACTCAAGGGTGCTGTAGAGTTCAGGGGCTTCATGCTCCAGTTCTCTCATGGGTCGGGCTCCTTGGCCAGACTACTACTGCTGCCAGGATGCGCTTTGGTCTCCTCTCTGATGGAGCTACATGATGCATGGGAGTTTGTGTTGTTTCCGGGGAGAGGTAGTCTGGCCAGGCAGTGTAGCCCATAGATAAGAATGGGGCCATGAAGCATCTTAACTACCACTCCCATGAGGAACCATGGCAGATGCAACTTAATGTCAGTCTGACTCAATATGAAATGTTTTGACATTTTCAAATTTGAATTTTTCTGAACTTTTGACATAGTAAAAATACTGAAATTTTTCACAATCAGAGGGGTAGCCGTGTTAGTCTGGATCTGTAAAACCAGCAAAGAGTCCTGTGGCACCTTATAGATTAACAGACATATTGGAGCATAAGCTTTCGTGGGTGAATACCCACTTCGTCGGATGCATGTAGTGGAAATTTCCAGAGGCAGGTATAAATATGCACGCAAGAATCAGGCTAGGGATAACGAGGTTAGTACAATCAGGGAAGATGAGACCCTCTTCTAGCAGTTGAGGTGTGAACACCAAGGGAAGAGAAATTGCTTTTGTAGTTGGTGAACGAGTCACAGTCTTTGTTTAATCCTGAGCTGATGGTGTCAAATTTGCAAATGAACTGAAGCTCAGCAGTTTCTCTTTGAAGTCTGGTCCTGAAGTCTTTTTGGTGCAGGATGGCTACCTTTAAATCTGCTATTGTATGTCCAGGGAGGTTGAAGTGTTCTCCTACAGGTTTTTGTATATTGCCATTCCTAATATGTGATTTGTGTCCATTTATCCTTTTACGTAGGGACTGTCCAGTTTGGCCGATGTACAGAGCAGAGGGGCATTGCTGGCATGTGGTGGCGTATATTACATTGGTGGACGTGCAGGTGAATGAACCGGTGATAGTGTGGCTGATCTGGTTAGGTCCTGTGATGGTGTGGCTGGTGTAGATATGTGGGCGGAGTTGGCATTGAGGTTTGTTGCATGGATTGGTTCCTGAGTCAGAGTTACTATGGTGCGGTGTGTAGTTGCTGGTAAGAATATGCTTCAGGTTGGCGGGTTGTCTGTGGGTGAGGACTGGCCTACCTCCCAAGGCCTGTGAAAGTGAGGGATCATTGTCCAGGATGGGTTGTAGATCACTGATGATGCATTGGAGAGGTTTTAGCTGAAGACTGTATGTGATGGCCAGTGGAGTTCTGTTGGTTTCTTTCTTGGGCTTGTCTTGCAGCAGGTGGCTTCTGGGTACACGTCTGGCTCTGCTGATCTGTTTTCTTATTTCCTCGTGCGGGTATCGTAATTTTGAGAATGCTTGGTGAAGATCTTGCAGGGTTTGGTCTCTGTCTGAGGGGCTGGAGCAAATGTGGTTGTACCTTAGCGCTTGGCTGTAGACAATGGATCATGTGGTGTGTTTGGGATGGAAGCTGGAGGCATGAAGGTAGGCATAGTGGTTGGTGGGTTTTCGGTGTAGGGTGTGTTAATGTGACCACACTTATTTGCACCGTGGTGTCTAGGAAGTGGACCTCCCGTGTAGATTGGTCCAGGCTGAGGTTGATGGTGGGGTGGAAGCTGTTGAAATCATGGTGGAATTCTTCCACGGTTTCCTTCCCATGGGTCCAGATGATGAAGATGTCATCAGTGTAGCGTAGGTAGAGAAGGGGCATGAGTGGATGAGAGCTGAGGAAGCATTGTTCCAGGTCAGCCATAAAAATGTTGGCATATTGTGGGGCCATGCGGGTGCCCACAGCGGTGTCACTGGTCTGGAGGTATATATTGTTGCCAAATTTGAAATAATTGTGCATGAGGATAAAGTCACAGAGCTCAGCAACCAGTTGTGCTGTGGCATCATCAGGGATACTGTTCTTGACAGCTTGTATTCCATCTGTGTGTGGGATGTTTGTGTAGAATATCAGGGTTCGAAGGGACCTCAGGAGGTCATCTAGTCCAACCCCTGCTCAAAGCAGGACCACCAATCCCCAATTTTTGCCCCAGCTCCCTAAATGGCCCCCTCAAGGATTGAACTCACAGCCCTGGGTTTAGCAGGCCAATACTCAAACCACTGAGCTATCCCTCCCCCACAAAGTGTAGAGAGCCTCTACATCCATGGTGGCTAGGATGATGTTTTCTGGAAGATCACCAATGCATTGTAGTTTTCTCAAGAAATCAGCGGTGTCACGGAAATAGCTGGGAGTGCTGGTGGCGTAGGGTCTGAGTAGAGAGTCCATGATGTTCATGGCGTAGGGACTGAGTAGAGAGTTCATGATGACAACAGCACCTCCTTTATCAGCCTCTTTGATTATAATGTCAGGGTTGTTTCTGAGACTGTGGATGGCATTGCGTTCTGCACGACTTAGGTTATGAGGCAAGCGATGTTGTTTTTCCACAATTTCTACCTGTGCACGTCGGCAGAAGCATTCTACGTATAGGTCCAGACTGTCATTTCGACCCTCAGAAAGAGTCCATATGGAGTTCTTCTTCTTGTGCTGTTGGTGGGAGGGTATCTGTGTATCAGTATGCTGTTCAGTGTTATCTTGAAAGTATTCTTTGAGTTGGAGATGGCGAAAGTAGGCTTCCCAGATCACCGCAGAACTGTATCATGTTTGGGGGGCATGGCAGGGCAGAAAGACAGTCCCCGAGATAAGACAGACTCTTCTGCCGGGCTGAGTGCATAGCTGGATAGATTGATGATATTGCTGGGTGAGTTAGGGGTACCACTGTTGTGGCTCCATGTGGCAGGCAGGATTTTAGACAGCTTACAGTACTTTTTCCTTTGTAGAGAGGTGAAGTGTGTAATGTCGATCTCCTGTCTTATTTTAGTAAAGTCCGTTTGTATGGAAGGTTGGTTATTTACTGTATTTTTACTGAGTATTTTTACTGTTCATCCTAATTCAGGATGAAAACAACTGTCAAGATGTTGTAATTTTCCATGGGACCAAAAAATAAAAATAAAAAAAATCCAATGTTTGCTCAGCTCCATGGGGAATGTTTTCAAAATGTAACATTTTATATGTCAGAATCAACCACTGAAGTCATGTTAGGGACCTGAACCAAAGTCCACTAAAATCAGTGGAAAGAGACTCTGATTGATCTCAGTGGACTTTGGATCAGACCCTTTGAGGAAGATACTGAGCTGAGATTCTGTGTTGCACCTCCAGGATGAAAAAATACTTAACAGGGTATAAGTAAGGACAAAGGCCCAGATCTATAAGGTATTTAGGCTCTTAACTTCCATTTATTTCAATACCTGCATATACCCTAGAATCAGTTGGAGTTAGGAGCTTACGTACTTTTGAGGATCTGGACTCAAAAGACATACAAGGACTTGGGGAACCATAAGGAGCTGATTTTTATATCATTTATGCTGATGTAAATAAGGAGCAACCTCACTGAAGCATGCGAGATCAGATTAAGATTTTACATGATCATCTTGGCCAGGCCTTTTGAACCAATCCCACGTTATTATAATACTATAAAATCAGGATTTGGGATAGGAAGAGCATTTGTATTATTGACTATCTCTTTGCTACCAATAGTATGTGGCTGCTAGCTTCTGTACCTTCCTCATCTGCGTCAAGCTGTTGCCAAACATTGTCTCTACTTCTTCTTAGAAACGTATACATGGAAACAGACATGTGAAATTGTCAGGAAATGATCTTGCTTCCTTCTAAATTTATGCAAATATTGATGGCATTGAGGGGAAGAGTCTTAAAATATTGTCCAAGAGTTCAAATTATTCCTGTAATTTTAGCATATTCCACAAAGATAAAATCTACAGGAAATATTAAAGGATTTATTTTAATCTAAGGGACATTTAAAATGTATGGTTCAACTCCTCAGCTGGTGTAGCTCCACTGAAGTAAACAGAAATACAATGATTTACATCAGTTTAGGATCTAGTATTAGACTTTTTTTCTTTTTCTCTTATATATAGGAAGCCTGTTTGATTAGTCAGATTAATGTAGAGATTAAGTCAGCTGGCATTACAGTAGATATATGGCAGTACATGAGAAGTAGTATCAATACAGATTTGATACTTCTATCCTACACATTTACTTCCAAGGGCTTGTCTAAACACATACTTTGTAAAAAGGCTTGATGTTAAACCAATTTAGTTAAACAAATGCAGGTTAAATGTATATAAAACAGATTTAAACCAATGTAAGAGTGTCCACACACAAAGTTGCACTGATTTAATCAAGATGGATTAAAATTGAACCTCTAGTTAAACTGGTGCAACTTGTATGGGTAGATCAGGACTAAGAGTAGAGAGACTAAAAATTGGGTAACCATAGCAATAAATCTGATTGATTTTGATCCTGGTGTAAATGGTGCAGCTCCCATTGAAGTTAATGAGAGACTCATCTTATTATGTCAAGATGATTTTGGCCCATTAGTTTTCATGGGAATTGAACTGAGGGCGTCTCTACATTCAGCAGTTGTACCAGTTTAATGAAATAGGTTAAATTTAGTTAAAATCGACGCCATTTCTAAATGTAGACTTGGCCATGAAGAGAGGGTTTATTTTGATATGGCACAAAAACAAAACAAAAACACACGACTGCACACAGATCTTGCATGCATGGCAAATGGGGCTCAGATAACCGTACCACAAGGAAGAGACTTTCTGATGCTTAACATCTGTGACTACACAGCAAAGTCACACACCTGTAATAATGTTCCTGATTGGCTTTACCAGAGCGGTGAAGGCAGAAACCTCAGGCTGCCTGTGCTCCCACATGGGCTGCCAAATAACAAGGCCACTGGCCAGCCGAAAAGTCAGGTCAGACTCCTAGAAAGACATAATGGGATCATCATACCATATGTGGATTAGTAAGGCTGACACAGAAGAGCATCATTTTCTGTGTGTGCTGACTGTCCCTCCTACTGTGACACGGACCTTGAAAGCAACAACAATGATCACACGCTGTTTGTGTGCAATAAAGGTCACTACTGTAACTATTCAAAGAAAGTATAAAAATACCTACCCAATGGTCTAGTAATAAAGCAACGTGGAATTCTCAGTACAAAGCTAAGTAAAGGGCCTTTGTGCCTTTGATCAGTTATACCGATCAAAACCTGTTTTTTCCAGGATCTCTGCTACTACTGAAAAACCTACCCACCATTTCAGCAAAATCCTTTGTACACATTATTCTACTTATTGCTTTAGATCATACAGTATGTAAATCTTTCCTTTAGGCTCCCTTTTCCTATAATGCCTGCCTGCACAAAATGAGCCAAAAATAATAATTATTATAAAAAATATTTATATAGGAAATATGAACATTTTTACAAATTATTACAAGTGCCAACATATAATGGTCTTATTATTACTATTAATTTTTAATTTAAACACCAAAATAATTATGCTGCAAAGATTTATGCATGTGTGTAATTTTACTCATGTGAGAAGCCCTATTGATGTCAGTGGAACTATCTACTTGAGTAAAGTTACACATGCAGGTAAATCTTTGCAGGACCAGGGCCCAAGCATGCATGTACTTAAACTAAGTGGCTCCATGATCTGACTGCTGGAAATATTGTCCTTCCTCACCTTTTCCGTTCCCTACTTTTTGTTGTGACTTCTTTCGAGGCAGCTATCATGCCTTTTGTATTTGTATGAAAGCACCCAGCAACGCTTTCAGGTGTTGTAGAAATAAGCATAAGCAAGACATTGCTTTCCCCTGTGCTCTTAAGTTTTTGGTGGTGCACTGGCCCTGCTACACTGTAGTTGTATAATTATGAACACAAGGTTAATGATGTTATTTTGGGATTAGATTTTGTTTTTGCTGCTTGCCCTGAGTCAGAGGTGAAATGGTGCTGTATCAGCCCTGGAAGAGCTTTGGAAAGAACTGGGACTCAAAGATTACCAGCTAGAAGAAATTTGTGCCACCCCTTTACCAAGTACCAGTAACTTTAGACTCCAGTGCTGGCTCATTTCTGCTGACTGGTGCGTGTACGTGTCCATAAGTAGCTGACACTCCATCCACTCCCTACCTGGTTGGTAAGGGGTGGGGGAGTACCAAAATCTCCACAACGCCTGAGTCAGACTGCAGAAAGGCCACGCCAGAGGGCTGGCCAAATCTTACTCCTCTGTGCAGGCACTTTAGAGTCAGGATAATTAGTTACAACATATGCTGTGAGAGTTCAGATTCACAAAGGGGACGAGAAAAGGGTGGTGAGCTTTATGTAGTAGCTATCTGGTTAAACACAGCCATTTCCTAATAACTTACTTTCTAGGAATGTCTGATTGAGAACGGCCAATTTCACTTAAGAGGCTAGCCTTAAAACATTAAGGCTGAAAGGTAGCCCTCCAGTGAAGCTAAGGACAAGTGGCAGGAATCAGAATGTGCAGTGAGATAAGTCCTGATTACATAGTTCTGCAAAGCTGGCTTATACATCATAAAATAAAGAGAAGGACTTCAGCTGACGAGAAGCCTGCAGCTTACTTCTGACATCAGAACAAAGAAACACTTAATTTGCACCTGCCACTAAAACTATCACAGATCCTATTAATTAATTAGTATCAATGCTATTAGTAATAACAAGAACAAATCAGTGACAACCCCGTTTCTGGAATTACTGAGCAGACAGAAAGGCATTTCTTAACCATGAATGAGAGTCAACCAGACTGAGCTAAATTCCACAATCCTTGCTCCAGCTCTGAAACAGTGAGGAACTCATGCCCTCAGCACTCACTGATTACAATGAGAGCTGCAGGTACTCAACACCTCTGATAATCAGGCCACTTATGTAGGTGCTAAATATAGATGCAGGTGCTTCACTTTGGATATTCTTGCTTTAGTGTCTTCCCAGTGCTACAACCTGTATTCATATCACTGGAATTACTTTTGATACTTTTACTCTAAGGTACTATAGTTTTAGTAAAAGATGGGTGCACAACTGGTTGAAACACTGCACTCACAAAGAGTAGTAATCAATGGTTCACTGTTAATCTGGGGGAATGTTTCTAGTGGAATCCTGCAGAGGTCTGTCCTGGGTCAAGTACTATTCAAAATTTCCAATAATCATAGAATCATAGAATATCAGGGTTGGAAAGGACCTCAGGAGGTCATCTAGTCCAACCCCCTGCTCAAAGCAGGACCAATCCCCAACTAAATCATCCCAGCCAGGGCTTTGTCAAGCCTGACCTTAAAAACCTCAAAGGAAGGAGATTCCACCACCTCCCTAGGTAATGCATTCCAGTGCTTCACCACCCTCCTAGTGAAAAAGTTTTTCCTAATTTCCAACCTAAACCTCCCCCACTGCAGCTTGAGACTATTACTCCTTGTTCTGTCTTAGTTAATGGACTGGAGAATATGCTTATAAAATGTGTAGATGACACCAATTTGCAAGGGGTTGTAAACCCTTTGGAGGGCAGGATTAGAATACAAAATGACTTTGACAAATTGGAGAATTTGAAATCAACAAGATGCAATTCAATAAAGACAAATGCAAAGTACTACATACAGAAAGGAAAAAATCAAATACACAAATGCAAAATGGGGAATAACTAGCGAGGCAGTAGTATTGCTGAAAAGGATCTGGGGGTTAGAGAGGATCATAAATTCATAATCAACAATGTGATGCAATTGTGAAAAAGACTAATATTCTGGGTTGTATTAACAGGAATGTTCTCTGCAAGAACTGGGAGGTACCGGTAACTCTCTGCTTGGCACTAATGAGGACTCGATGGCAGTATTGTGCCCAGTTTGGGCACTACAATTTTGAAAAGATGTGGACAAAGAAGAGACAGTCCAGCAGAGAGCAACAAAAATGATAAACAGGTTAGAAAACCTGACCTATGAGGAAAGGTTAAAAAAAACTCGGCATGTTTAGTCTTGAGAAAAGAAGACTGAAGGAGGACCCAATAACCATCTTCAAATATGTTACCGGCTGTTACAAAGAGGGCAGTAATCAATTATTCTCCATGTCTGCTGAAGGTAGGACAAGAAGAAATCAGCTTAATCTGAAGCAAGGGAGATTCAGGTTAGATATTAAGAGAACTTTCTAACTATAAAGATAAAGTACTGGAACAGGCTTCCATCGAAGGCTGTGGAATCCCCATTATTGGAGGTTTTTAAGAACAAACACAGCTTAGACGAACCCCTGTCAGAGATGGTCTAGGTTTACTTGTTCCTGTCTCAGCGAAGGGAGTTGGACTACATGACCTCTCGAGGTCCATTCCAGCCCTACAGTTCTATGATTCTATTATGTCCATGGGAGTGCTCTCCTGTGTAAGGGCAACAGGGCTGGACCTTTATTCTGCACTGTATGCTAAATCCAATTAGCCACTATTATGACCATTCGCAACCAAGGCTGAATCACAGTCTCCTCCTCACACTGGCATCACTACCTTACCACTCCTGACAGTTCTTCCACTTACTTTAATCCTGTGGACCAGAGGAGCAAACAGGAACACAAAGAGCTCCACTGTTGCCATGGAATTCTGAAAGAACTTCCTTCGGTTATTCTCTTCCTCTTCATTAGTGCTGCCACGCCAAGGGTGTCCTGGAGAGCCCTGGTTTTCAACCTGATGAATAAAGGCGCTACTGCTCCCTCCCCAGCTGGAGCCTCTCTCTCCTCCAAACCGGTCATTGCTGCATTCTTGAGGAGCCTCCAGTAGCATCCAATGGAGGGTGTGAAGAAGCTTAGTCTCTGCTACGCCAAGCTTGTCCTGATGTCCTGAATGGAAAAAATGCAGCATAGTGGGTGTCTCTGTTCACACAGGATCGGTACAGTGGAGATTTTCAAAGCTGCATAGGGAATTGCGCACACAAATTCTCTATGTAGCTTTGAAAATCTCACCCCCGCAATTAGAAGTATCGAGTTGTTCCTAGTATGTCTTGGTTAAAATCACCTGATTCAGAATGTTACATGCCCCTGCACATTCCCCTTGCCTGTTCCTTGAAGTATCACTCAGTGCTGTCTGCATATGTGAAAATACAGTACTCATAAAAGGTGCTAACTTGACAGCCCTGGATCTTGAAACACTTCTATTGATCCCCAAGCTGTAATACTGCAAGCGTTCCTAGACTGTGCTCTGCTACCCATCCCCACCAGTATGCTTCAATTCTGGAGGAACCAGGCCAGATGAGAAAGTAGTTTGATCTTGATGAGCATAGTGCAAAGCTGACTGACATCAGTGGAAAGATTCTTATTGATGATAGTGGGCTTTGGATCAGGCCCTATGCTTATGAATTCATTGTTTTTTTTTTTTTCCGTTAAGACTGTCAATCTGTGAACCAGTTAGTGTCAGTTCTGGGGGCAGATTTTGTAATGTGGATACTTACCCACCTGCAACTGGACCAAGGCCAACAATTACTTACATGTGAAATACAGAACTTTCAGACATAAACCAGACCACCTTAAGGACCTAGCCAAGACCAACTTGGGTGATGCCCAATCGGCAAGGAGGCCACATCTTTTTTGAGATTTGCCATGCTGATGATGACGACGACAACAACAACAAATGACAACACTTTCAGTGCCTTCAAAATCTGACTACTATGGCATATGTCTTACAGAAAATTAATAAGCTTCTTCAAGGGCTATTTCAGTTAGGTGGCAAGACTACTACTAAAATCCATCCCAGTTCCTCTTGGATATGGTGACCAGATAACAAATGTGAAAAATCGGGATGGGGGTGGGGGGTAATAGGTGCCTATATAAGAAAAAGCCCCAAATATCGGGACTGTCCCTATAAAATCGGGACATCTGGTCACCCTATTCTTGGAGAACAGTACTGAACTAATTTGACTCTCAAGATTGTGACTCCCTGTTGACAACAATTTCCAAGACGTCACTCATTCATTTAGATGGCACCCTGCAATGCTGGGACGGATTTGATCCTTTCATGCTTAGAGAAGGATTTCATCATTCAGGACCTTTCTTCTCACTTTTCATTATCCAGCAGTGAAGTCAAAATGATGTATCTTACATCACCGTTCCCAAACTGTGGGACCAAGATTTAACTGTAGCATTAAACAGAAAGGGACTCATGGAGCTTTGTTTGGGTAAGTGTTTATATAAAATACAAATCTCTTCAGTGACAAAGAAAATGTAGAAAAATATGAGCTAATATTTTATGAGGCATATATTTTTGTAGCGCTAGTCTTCTGTTTGGGTTCCCGACCCCCAGTTTTGATCTAGTGTTAAAATTTCCTTTAAAAACAGAGAAAGGTTTGGTGTAATATCAAGTTTTTCAAAAAGAAAAGGAGTACTTGTGGCACCTTAGAGACTAACCAATTTATTTGAGCATAAGCTTTCGTGAGCTACAGCTCACTTCATTGGATGCATACTGTGGAAACTGCAGAAGACATTATATACACAGAGACCATGAAACAATACCTCCTCCCACCCCACTCTCCTGCTGGTAATAGCTTATCTAAAGTGATCACTCTCCTTACAATGTGTATGATAATCAAGGTGGGCCATTTCCAGCACAAATCCAGGTTTTCTCACCCTCCGCCCCCCCCCCCCCCCCACACACACACAAACTCACTCTCCTGCTGGTAATAGCCCATCCAAAGTGACCACTCTCTTTACAATGTGTATGATAATCAAGGTGGGCCATTTCCAGCACAAATCCAGGTTTTCTTATCCCCCCCCTTTCCAAAAACCACACACACAAACTCACTCTCCTGCTGGTAACAGCCCATCCAAAGCGACCACTGTCCCCACAATGTGCACTATAATCAAGGTGGGCCATTTCCAGCACAAATCCAGGTCTTGTCACCCCCCTCCCCCCAACACATACACAAACTCACTCTCCTGCTAGTAACAGCTCATCCGAACTGACCACTCTCCTTACAATGTGTCAGCCTTTTTGATTATGATGTCAGAGTTGTTTCTGAGGCTGTGGATGGCATTGTGTTCTGCACGGCTGAGGTTATGGGGCAAGTGATGCCGCTTTTCCACAATTTCAGCCCGTGCACGTCGGCGGAAGCACTCTATGTAGAAGTCCAGTCTGCTGTTTCGACCTTCAGGAGGAGTCCACCTAGAATCCTTCTTTTTGTAATGTTGGTAGGGAGGCCTCTGTGGATTAGTATGTTGTTCAGAGGTATTTTGGAAATATTCCTCAAATAAATTGGTTGGTCTCTAAGGTGCCACAAGTACTCCTTTTCTTTTTGTGAATACAGACTAACATGGCTGTTACTCTGAAACCTATCAAGTTTTTAAGGCACAACTCCAAATTGGAGAAAATATTTATTTTAATGTCTTTTTGCATTTACCTCAATAAAAACTAATATCCAGTTCTACAGGGTTGGGTTTTTTGGTTTTTTTTTACAAGAGGTTGATAATTATTTGTATTATTTTAGCTGAGCTGAATTTTACATATAGCGTAGTCTGATTACTACATCTGCCTGCAAAGTAACCAAGCGTAAGATTACACAAACCCTTACATGCAGGAACAATGCTATTATAATTAATGTAACTAATCACATAAGTGAATTCTATCCACAAGAATAAAGCCATCAAGGACTGGGTTCCCATCATATTTTCGAGGTTGAAATACAATAAACAGGAGGAATAAGAGAACCTATCTTGCTAAATTTACTTATGTGAATAATCCTTACTAACACTAGTTGGGCCACAGACCTAAATGGAAATTATTTGCTTGAGTAAGGACTGCTGTGTGAACATGGATTTGCAGGATTGGGTCCTATAACTTGGAGAAAATGGGTATGTCTACACTAAAATATAACACCCACGGTTGGCCCGCGTCAGCTGACTGAGGCTCACAGGGCTTGGGCTGCAGGGCTATAAAATTGCAATGTAGATGTTTGGGCTCAGGCTGGAGCCTGGGCTCTGGGAGAGTATGGTCTATGGTATATTGAGCACAACTTCGTGATATTTTAATGGAAGGTTAGGTAACAGTAAAAAGCAAACTAACGCAAGTACCAACCTAGCTTGTTTCGGTTGGAAAGCAAAGTCGCTGTGCAATGGAGTACATGTGGTAGGGCAGCTTGAACCAGTTCCCAACGAGAAATGCTCTGGATGGCTTCAGAGAGGGCTGGAGAAAGACCATGCAGCTTGTTCTCTACTAAAACTCGTTCGAAAGACTAAGCAAAAAAAAGGAGAAAAAATATTATCCTAGCACATGCTTTGCAAGACAATGTATTCTCTTCTAAAGCTCTAGCTGTCACATACTATTTTCCACAAAATATACCTTACAGTTCCTTTCAGTAAAATTATTCCTTAAAATATTTTCTTGAAAGAGAAAGGCCACAGCCAAAGCTCACTAGATGGATGGTTAATCAGGAGACAGCAGCTAGAAGAATTCAGAAGCAGCATGGTTCATTTAATATACTTTCCTTAGTCAAAAGAATTAAAGAAATGAGTATCAAATTCCACATAAACATAAGTACTCTGGGTCAAACCTGGCATACAGTTACGCTGGTGTAAATCTGGAGTAATTCTGCTGAAGTCAGTGGAGCTGCTCCAGATTTACACCAGCGTGACTGAAAGCAGGATTTGACACTCTCTTTGAAGGTTTTATGTAGCATAAAGAGCAGCCCATTAAAAGTACATAGGACTTAAGAAATATTTTCACACCCTGTCACAAAAGTTAATCAGCGTGTAAAATCCTATATCAGGACATTATATAGATTATATAGATTTGGGGGCCAGCGCATCTGTTTTATAGAGGGGGGAAAAAATCCTTACAGAAGCTTATTATTAGACAGCCAAGCTATTTCTACAGTCCATTCTTTCGAATATGGCCAAAAGACCTCCTTATATGGTCACTGAAGCAATTATGTTCCTCTGAAGTTACTGTAGTCAAGGACTGTATTAGTGATATCACATGCCCTTGCCACAAACCAATGTAGCCTTCTGGCAATCTACTCATTCACAGGTTGTTTAGCCAATTTTACTATGCTCATGGAGATAAGTAAGTGTATGTACATGACCTAAAGGATGCTTCAAATGCCATCACACCAGATTCATAAAATTCATTCCTCAACAAGAGGCACAAAAATCCTTGGTAAAAGAGCTGCATTTACCAGGAAGAAGCTTAATCACAAAGGAGTAAAGCAAAAGAAACTTGACTTTCAATCTGGCCATCAAAACGCAACCACCATTCAAAGTGTGCAGTACCTACCAGTCAAACAGGCTGTTTAATATTCCTTTACATACACCAAGGGCAGGAAAGTAGTCTTTGCATATGTTTGTTCTATAAGAGAGAAACACCCTAACAGTGCTGGGTATAGACAGAGTTCAGGGCAGTGAAAATGGAACATGTGACTATTATGCAGAGTCAGCTCATGGACAGACATACTGGTGGATATGCAGGACTGAATATGACGATAATGAATCACATGCTGAAAATAATAGTCAAACTTTGGCAAGAAATTTACTGTTATGCTAGAGGGTGTTTACAGCTGCCAGCAAGCATATCTGATCTACACGCAGTCAAAAATCTCACTGACACTGATGGAGTTCTAGCTGCCCCTTGTTCTGGCTCAACTGAGAAGCAATTAAGCTCCTTTATGGTGTAAGATGTCTGAAACCACCATCCAAAGCACTGGCCATCCAAAGCACTGGCCACATGGAAGGCCAGAGCAAGAACTAACTCAGACAAAATAAAAGGGGCTTCCCTGAAAACTGATTGAAATTCAGGGGCTGGGGCAGTGGTTGAACTGCAGCTGTTTGTTTCTGCATGCCTCAAAGGGAGTAAGCAAATAGAAAGTCAGAGCGGCGCTGGTAGCATGATGCTGGGAGTTAGCCAAAAGAGAAAGCATCTTTTGGGCACAGAACTGAGTAGAAGCAGGCTTGGATTCCTGAACAAGAAAATTGCTTCCTGTTATTCGTTCCTACTGTATTCAGGGAAACAGGACTTGCACCAAAGATATATCTTACTCATCTAATTAATCTCGCCTTCTAATGTAAACAATCCACAAGCCCCCTGAATATTAGCTAACTGCTTGGGCCAGAAGGGGCAATAGTATGCTTTTCCATCTAGAAAAAGTGGTTGTGATGGGTTTAGTGCACAAGGAAGATAGGATTTTATCACCATTTGTCAAACCCCCTTCTCTGTTAACATGACTGTTCTCTCCGCAGAGACTTCATTCAGGCAACAGAATGGAATAAAAATATGCCTACTTCCATATATTGGCATGCAGCTGGGAGAAGTTATTGCCTGCTCTGAACTAGTCTGAAACGATTGGGCTGGACTACTGTAGCCTAAATCTATTTATTTACTCTGGCAGCTACACATAATAGACCAGATTATGCTTCCCTCATTCAGAGTGAGTAGTAACTAACTCAGCCACTAACCCCATTCACATCAATGGGCCTATTCAAGAAATAAGGGACCACTAACTGTGAGTAAGGCCAATACAATTTGTCCCACACAGAAGTATGAAAGGGACTGCTCATACATACACCTTTCTGTGTACAATCTAGAATAAACAGGGCATTTAACTACCATTATTTAACATTAAGTTTGATTTGTTAATGGATCATCCTAACAAAGGAACAAAATAATAGAGGCCCACACTCTTGCGTAAATTGCCAGACTACATTAAATTTATCAGGGAAGGGATAAAAAAACCACAAAGCAGCTATTCTATGCTGATGGGGGGGGGGGGGGCAAGATGTGGGGTCATTCTGTTGCTCTGCATAATGTACTGGCTTCTCATCCAGCACTGGATCCAATTCAAGTTTTTGTCCTCATGTTCAAGAGATCACAATGGCATAGGACCCTAAAAGCTATAGAACAGCCTCTTTAAAAAAAACCACAGCCCAGATTCTGAGCATGCAGTACAATTCAGGAGGGGGAAAGGGAGTGTGCAAAAGTGGGCTGACCACATTGATTATTGTTGCCTCAAGTAGCACAAGATTTGGGGGCCAGCGCATCTGTTTTATAAAGGGGAAAAAGCACTTTTACGTTCCTGCAATCTTTAGGGCATCTGGGTCTTGGGAAGGCTGTCAGATTGGAGCCTCCTTCAGACTGCTCTAACCTACACCAACTGTCAGGAATAAATTGAGCTAAGAGGAACTCAACCTTTATGCCAGTGGGTTGAAGGGGGATGGCCAATGAGCCATGATGCTAGTGTAGGTTTGCAAGAGGATACCCCTGTGTATGAGGGATTCTCCAATGGCCAGTTAAGCAAACTTTAGAGCGAGTTAATGATTGTGTGGTACAACGTTTCCCATTTGTATGGGAGAACCAGGCCTTATGGTTACAGTGTCAGTCCCTGCTCTGGCTCACACGAACACAAGTGACAGCAACATCTGGATCCTTCCCTCCACTTCCTTAGGGCCTTGCCCTGCCTTGTTTATGCAAGCACAGCTCCCTGCAAGTTCAGCTCATGTTCTGCCCACACACTGAGTGCAAGATATGGTGCTTCGGGTCAGACTCTGCTCTCCGTTGCAGCCATGCAGGTGTGCAGTGACGCCATTTCCTTTATTCTTTCCTGAAAATAATGCAAAATCAAGATGAACAGCCCACTTTTTGCCCTCCATTCACTCTCAGTTACATATGCCTTTGGTGGGGGGAGGGGAGGGGGGAGAGCTGAAATGTGTAAAATAGAAGAGGGATCCCAGGGAACTATAAATGTAGCTGAAATCAAAGGGTCTAGCTATAATAGGCTAAAACAAAACAAAACAAAAACCCAGCCTATAGAGGCGTGGCTAAACTAGCAAACATAGTGGTGAGCTAATCCAGGTCTCTTCAATACAAGGAATAAATTAAAGCAATATGAGAAGATAAAGAGAACCAGGCCAACCTGAATCCACAGATTTGTGCCCTAAAAATGAACAATCAAACAGAGCCAGATTTGAAAAGAAGGAAGGCTGAAGAGGGCTGGCAGATGCCAGTAACAGAGAGCTGCCTCGGGGGGGGAGGAAATCCAGCCACAGAATCCAGTACCATCAGCTTAAAGAACATATTATAATTGACTCGGAAAGCTCAGAGATGTTGAACTGGACCCTCCTTATCCTGTAAGGAGTTAGTGTGTGAGTGCAATGAGATGAAAAAAATAAAATAAAGTGGAACTACTGTGGCTGGGGGAGGAAGTGTGGCAGTGGCTATTTTGGAAAGGACAAACCAAAGGGGAAGTGTGGTGGCAACAGCCATCTTGAAAGAGGCGCATCAAGCCAGGAGGAAAGACCAGAAGATCTAGATGTCTAGGAAAGGAAAGAAATCCTCCACTACAAAGATCTGTCCATCCCACCTTCCCCCAAAAACAAAATCTCCCCCTCCACCAAACAAACCATGGAAGCAGTTGGACAAGAACAGGATTAGTACATGGGCTAAGACATTGTAATAAAAAATGATATTTTATCCATGTGGTTATTATGACAAAGGGATATAGTTAAATGGAAGCTGGGTTGTATAGCACCTTCGATAGTTTACTTTGTGTGGATACAGTACACTTAATGGGAATAACATTATAGATAATATAAATCACAACATTATAAACTAAGTTAATAATGCAATAGCAAAAGTCCCAGATCTCCCCTAATGAAGCAAGCTTGACTTGAGTTATCTAAAACATTCCAAAATGTATATTAATTGGAGAAGGGTCACCTATGGTGGAAAATGTCAGAATAAGTGAACTCAAAGATGGTATAATAATCTCATAGTGCCCGATGTTATAAAGATATTTGATAAGATAAGACTTGGTTCTTAAAAATATATAAAGAATAGTTCCCCGCTGCAAATTTACACACCCATGGAGGAAGTAAGGGGAGCCTGGGCTCTCACAACTAGAGAGGACCAGGCAAGAGGGGGAAATACATAGGGAGGGAGGTGGGAGAGAAAAAGGGAACAAGAGAATATAAACAGATGTTAAATATTGTTATATGTTTTAATAGAAAAATATATTAATAGAGCGTTAGGGCTCAGAATTAAAAAAAAATATGGTAAATCAGCCTCAGAATCACGGTACACCAATACAGGTGTTACAAAAGGAGAGAAAAAAGGGGAAAAGCAATGTATGTCGGAGTTTTAAAATTATTGTGTATGATGGGAACTCTAAAGATGTCATATTTAAAGAAGAGATATAAATGTAATGGAGACCTGGCACCTGACTAGGGAGTCTCACTGCTTTTAACA